ACAGTTGAATCACTTCTAACTCTAAAAATTATAACCTTCATAAAGTTGTTGCAGTAAAACTGCAGGATTATTGTATTAGACTGCATTAGTTTTAGCTCAGTGTACTTTAACATGAATTACAGGTGAAAAATGCACAAACATCCACCTATAATATTAAAAAAGTAGAAATGAAGCACACAAACCTCTTGTTCTGGCTGGAGTCTCACGGGGACTCTGGTACTGAGTCACCATCAGTATGTGTTGTATGTCAAGTCACTTTCACAAACTCTCAGCGCACCTCAGCGTGAAATACTGCATGTTGCAACTTTCCCTCGGCTCAGCGTAATCCCACAGTGATTATCATGCAACAGAGACACCGTGCTGTAAGCTCACTGTGACACGAAACACTGGGCTCAATCTCTGCGGCTGCTTGTTAACATTTCATTTCATAGTAAGACCTGTACACTGATAAAGTAGCATTGACGCAGTCTCCTTGATTACATGTATTTTAAGTGATGCTCTAAATAGTGTGAAATTTCCAGGCTTACAAGAATACAATTTGAAGTCACTCGCCAACTAAGTGATTAGTCTACTTATTGAATAGTAGCCAACTTTTTTGATAATCGATGAATCATTTCAGTCATATGCAAGCAAATAGGTCAAACATTCCCTGATTTCAGCTTCTTGAATGTGAGGATTTATCATAAATAATGCTAAATTAAATATCTCTGGGTTTTGGACTGCTGTTTGGACAAAACAAGGAATCTAAAGATGCTGTTTAGGGATCTGGTAAACTATAATGGGCATTTCTCACTATTTTGTCACATTTTTTAGACAAAACCACATATTTTGTGTTAATCAGTGATGGAAATAATCGTTAACTGTGGCTCTATAGCCAACTAGGTGCTCAAGTAACAACGGACCAAATGTCAGCCTGTGTGTAGCTGATATTTCTACACACTAGCTTCGTCAGGGTGTTTTATGAAGGTAAAAAAGAAAAGTTAAGTGAAAGGCAGATACTTCCAGGAAATTAATTAGTGTTCCAAGTTTTTTCAGGGTGAATAATAAACACAACAAACAGAAACAACTTAATTGCAAATTTGTTGACATTAAAAATTGATGAATGCTTCTTAAGAGCAAAAATAGAAGTTTTTGATTTCAAAATATCAGGTCAAACTATAAATACCTGTACCCATAAAATCCCACAACACATTCAGAATTTCACATTAATCTATTTGGGAAGTCCATCCACAAAAAGGTTTTACTTTGAATTTTAACATTGACGTATTGCCTTTCAAATTCGGAGTGGTGCAATTGCATTGAAAACACGTAACCTCTTAAAATCCAGCCCCCACTTCAGTTCCCTCTCACATTTGATATCCCAAGTCCTCGGAACCACCACCCTGAAACTATTTAGTATAAACGTGTGCGGCCAAGTGCGTCTGGACTGAAGCATCTGGTGTGTGTGTTCTTTAGATTAAAATATTAAAAATATATGTGGTATCCCACATTTTTCAAATCAGATAAAGATTTGAAAATCCTTTACTGTGCACCATGCTTTGAGTAGCTTTAAGGTTGGGGAAAGCTTTCCTGACAGCATCATATATATATTGCAGTCAGCTCCCAGCTTTTATGAAGTTTTGCCATCAAATGGAAATATTCTAGAGGTCTTGTGAATTATTTTGGACACATTTCCCTAAATTCAATCAGATATATTTGGTATCTTTTAAACTTTGGGATCTCCACTAGAATTCAAAATGAAGAAGGTATAAACAAAGTTTCCCTGCATAGCATGAAACTTTGATGACTGATCCAGCAGGGGATTCAGTGGAGTTGCAGAGGCTTTGCAGCAGATACTCATATCAGATACTGGAGCTTAAACCACCACAAATCAATTCTCCTGTGTTTCATGTAAGGACTGCCACTCCCATCATAAATGTCTTTATAGAGATTTTATTCAGGACATGTTGGATACAGCGGCAGGATACCATAATTTACAAAGATGCAGTTCACTGAGCTCCGGCTTTGGGTGGAACCCACTCGTGGATCTTCTTGCGGGTGGTGGAATAGGGCACGTACTGCTGGGAGGTGCCACTCACGTTGAACTGGTGGATCTCAGCCAGGAACTTCTTGGGCTCTGGTGGGTGTGTGGTGGGGGGGTCGTCTGTCATACAGTGCAGCCAGCGATGCCTGAAGGAGTGAAGAAGAAGAAGAAGAAGGTAGCTGGCTTAAATAACAGTGGCTTTCAAGCTTATGCTTTCTTTTTATTCATGCTGATCTTTGTCTTTGATTACACTGAAGTTATATGCTCTGTGTCTAAGACCATTAGCCAGTCATAATGCCCTCCTCCTTTTTTGGACTACTAGGATCTAAACTTGACATGCCAATTATCTGCCAAGAAAACATGGCGTTTTAGCCCAAGTGGTCGTTATCCTTATTAGTATTAATTATCTAACAAATTGAAGGTTGTACCATTCAGCTGGAACCATACTGCCGTCCACCTCCCACAGGGTGTTCTTTCCGTTCATCTCCGTGGTGTAGATCACCCAGCGGTGACGTCCTGAAAACATTTGAGACACAGTTTATTTAACAAATCACAGATGTGTCACTCGGAAGCAGGTTCAGACTGCACCCAAATCTTAACAACCTTTGCAAACTCCTCCTGAAAACAATAGTATTTTTAGGGCAAATATCCTGCTTGTACACATTTGGGGAAACTCACCAAAGAAGTAGTGCTTGTTGTCCTCAAAGTATTTGTTTCCATATTTATCCACACCAACCAGGGATCCTGTCTTCACATCATTCACCCTGTCAATTAAACGATGATAGTCAGGTTGACTGTCCCAAAACAACATATATTCCACTTCAGCATTGAGGGACAGGAGACGAGCCTGCACACTCAGGTCTGTGCTCAAAAACGTAGTTTATTCTAACATTTGCCTTTGCGAAAATGCACCTTGTGAACCAATTATAGAAGCTGGTGTATTACTCAAATAAACACTGCTTGGTGACTAAACCCTGAGCCGAATTTATCAGTGGTTCCTCACGTTTTTAGGGTTTCTTCAGTCATGATCTTCAGCAGGGTTAAATCGAGAGAACTGGTGCTGCTGAACTTAAACTCTGAGATTTTTGAATGGAGTTTGGCGCAGCATTAACCCAATACACTAGCAACATAACTGTTTCTGCATCAAACGTGTCACACTATTGTCATAAAGCTGTTTTACACGTTATTTACTGTTGGTAGTAAATCCAGATTTGTGCTGAAGTTAGCTGTCAACATGCTAACTTAGCTGTGACTAAAAACATCTTTATGAAGCTCTCACAACCTTCAACGGAGGTCCTTTCTTCTTTCTTTCTTCTTATTAAAACTATCGTCTCAAACTGACCTGAATAACTGAAGAAGAAAACCTCGGACTCCACCGTGACCTCCTATTTGTCCCAAAGCCCTTCGGACGATGTTGGCATACTCCGCCATCTTGAGACGGAAGAATTAATGAGACGGACTGTTCTGCGTTAAAAATAGGTCCGTGTAAAACACACCAGGCTGTGATACTTTAGTTCCACATGTAGATGCAAATGTGCACGGTTACAGCAGTAGTACTTGTAAATCCCATCACTCATATCACTCATATCTATCTATCTATCTATCTATAATAATACCACCAATGTTTACTGGTGTTCAGTGGTGGAAGTATTCAGATCTTTCACTTAATTAAAAGTAGCAATACTACAGTGTCACATGTAAAAAAGTCCTGCATTCAAAAATATATTTTAAGTACCAAAGGTACTCATTATGTTTCACTTCAATAACTTTAGCCGTTACAGTTTAACCTGTAATGCTATTTCATAATTTTTTAGTTGATTTGTATTTTGTATTACAAGGTACAGGGTACAAGGTAGGTTTAATGGTCACATTACAACAGGTTTGTAACTCCCTTCTACTACAACAGATAATATACAGTAATGATAGTATAACTTTAATCGTTTTATGTTATTTACATATTTGAGGATGGGGCATGCTACTACGCATTTCACTTCATATTGTACATGTAAGACTGGAAGTGACAAATACAACCCTTAAATCTGAAGTATTTCTATCTCAAATATTACTGTTAACCAAAGACAACAACTGTGACAGTTCATAGAATTACTCCACCTTGCTAGAACCACATGCACAAATAGGCGGAGCAACCTGTTTGTTAAAGATGGTCATTGTTATGTTTATAAGTTGTTGCCTTTTGCTGTTAAATTCATAAACCACCAGGGGTGTCAGCACGTAAACTTACAGCAGGCTGTAAGTCATGAGTTCCAGTACAGCTGCTTGATGGTATAGATCCACCGTTATTTCTTTCTATGCTGTGAATTTGTCAATAAACACTTGGAAATCTAATTGTGTGCATGTTGTATGTGTATTTGTCTGCATTAGAATATCATCTCATAGATTTAAGATGCAGAAAAGGTGAAAAATTACAATCAATTCCAACATAATTCTTACTTGGACATTAAAAGCTGTTAAATTACGAGCAGCAGCCTCGTTAACTACAAAGCCTGGTAAGTTTTATTAACATTTTAAATCCTCACAAACATATTAACATTGAAGTAGTATTGAAAGTGGACAATCAAAAGGTAAACTTGCAATGTGGAGTATTCAGCGGGTTGTTGGAGGACACTTGAGCAGCAGAGCCGACGTTTCCTGACACAGACATGAACTCTTGCCTTTTAATTAAAGGACAGTCTGTCAACGAGCTACGTCCAAGAGGGTGGATCTAACACGGTCCAGTGTCACAGCTCAGGGAGATGGAGGGGAAATAGAGCATAAAACCAGTAAAATTCATTAAAAATGCCTTATCTGTCAAACGAGTCCTTTGATCGCCGGCTCAGAGAGAGACCCAGACGTTAGATACACATGACAGACAGTTGGACTACTGCCGCCCACAAACATCTGTCTGCACTGTGCAATTAAGTAGTAGTTTTTAATCCTTTGAAGCAACACAACAAGAAATTAATACAGGAGGACAAGATGTATATTTATATATATTTTATTAAAAACTGTTGCCTGACAGTTTAGAATCATTGTTTATAGGAGACTCTAACTCTGATAGAGTGAATGTTTACAAATGGTCACTGTTAATGTACAATCATGAAGAAATGCATGCTTGGGTGCTCCTGACTGGCATTTTCATACCAGGCTGCTGCAGATTTATATTAAACCTCGCTAGCCCCAAACTGAACGAGGCATACATGAAATTGTATGACGGCAGCAGCGAAAGAGCTATAATGACAGTATTACCGTTTTAATCCTTCACTAAAAAAAAAAGTAGGATTTGGGTTTCTCCATCTGTGAAATCAACTCAATTGCCCTAATGGGGTAGTGCAACATATGGCAACTCATCAAGAAGACACAGACCTGAAAAAACTACTGTTTTTAAAGCTACAAACCCAGAGTACCCTGGCTAGAAAGTGAGTAGTCATGCAAACTGGATGCTTAAATTTGTCCTGATTTAGTGAAAAATTTCAAATAGAGCACCTATATTATTGCAATTTATCTCAAAACAGGAGACATAAGGCACAATGTCTACAAAAACAAGCATGTAAATTAAAAATCTTTTCTTCCTTTTGAGCATTTCCTTAGAAATATACTTCCCACAGTATTTGCTCATAAAAAAAATCCCATTTTCTGTAAGCAGTTTTCTTTTAAATTTAAAAGAACAATTGTTTTAATGGAACCATATTTCCTAACAAACCCTGACTCCCCACATATCTGGCAGCCTGTGCTTTTCAAACAATAAATCTTCCTATTTTATAAATATAAGCTCTTGGCTTTGATATAAAAAAAAGGTCAATGTTGCTCTTTCATGTCCATATACACAGTTTTATCCATTAACCATATCTAATGTGGCTAAACAGGCAAAAATACATTTAAAAAAAATTGTATGAAAACTATCTACAATTTTCATGACATTTCCAGTTTTCTCCAGGATGTTTTTAACCCACGTTTTAAATGTTTTGTGTGTTGAATTTAAAAATAAAAAGAGAACAATCTCTTAACCAGAGAGATCAAACTAAAGAGCAGAACTTCCTCTTTCATTATAGAAGCCGGATTTTCACAGTAAAATCCCACCTTGTTAATCATTAAACTCTTAAACAGACATTTTAAATTCTATCTTTAGATTTTGCCGTTGCCATTTCTGAACATTAATATAGCAGCAAACTACTATTTGCTATGTAAAGATATAGTGGAGTAATGGGGTCCTAAGCAGAGGATAATGTCTGTTGTCATCCGAGCTTCCCTGTTCTTTGTTTCGGTCGCTGATCCGGTCACGTGCGCACGTGAGTCCTTCTCGGTAAAACTGTTGGCTCTCAGGAGAGCGATACAACGGTTGTTTCTTTTCTGATCTAATTCTTTGAATTAACGGTTTATTTCGATCAAACCAGAGTTGGTGATGGTTGGAACAGTGGAAACACTAACCAAGACGGTTTTGTTGAGTTTTACGGTTTCTGTTCAGCTTTAATGAAGTAGCTTTAATGTTACAACAACCCCCCCCAATGGAGTCTGGGGGCTAGTGAGAGCAAAATAAAGGATCTTACTGTTAACAAAAGTCCATCTCTGTCAGGATCCTTCACATAATGTTGTCAGGCACTTAGAATAATAATCTGAGGCTGTCACTGGGAAAAAACAAACACTTTCAGTGGACGTACTTTGGCAGGCGCATTTGTTCTCTGCAGCTTTTGCAGCCCGTTTCCCGGCTGCCAGCTGAGGCGTAGAGCCAGAACATTTCGGTGAATTAAGGGTTTACTTTGACCAAACCAGAGTTGGTGATTGGTGGAACAGTGGAAAGCCTCCCAAAGACAGCTTGGGTGAATTTTATGTTGTTCCTGTTGAGTTTGAATGAAGTGTGTTTCATGATGATTTTTCTCAATGGAGTCTGGTGGGCAGTAGCGCCTATTTGTTTTGGTCTGAGATGCTGGTGCACTAGTGAGACATTTAGCGGGCAGGGAATGTCGCTTACATCTCTTTTAAACAAAATGACACAGTAGGTTTAGAATTTCTGAGTGTCGCCAATATCAACATGCTGAATGAAGACAGACAGGTTTGTATATTTTGTTTCGCACAAAAAGTAATAACTTCATCCGTTTGCAGTTCAAAATAATTTCCAGACTTCCTAGGATTTCCGAGGGCTTTAAATGTTACTGACAACTGTTCTGTCTCACTTCCACACACATGCTTCTGGACTTGACCTTTGACCCACAGCTGCAACAAACTGTTAACGGTAACCTCAACCAGCACTGCTGAGCATCAGTAGCTGTTGGTAGAAACTATGTTTAGAGAAACAGAATCCATTTCTTTGAGGGGGAACATACAGTATGTGGCGCTCTGTAGTGGGTTTCTGTTTAGAGTAAACAGTCCATCCGGAGTCCTTCCTGAGCTGGTGACCCTTGACCTGAGATCAATCAGGGGTCGTAAGTTGTCTATCAACTGGCTCCGGGGCTGTGATATGACTTCACTGCTGTGAAACCAAATTACTGTTCAAGAATCATTGCCTCTTGGAAGGCTTCGATCCATCTAAAGACAAAAATACAAAACAGGAAATTAACATTTTCATTTGGACAAACACATTAAAATACTTCAAAATAATTTAAAGGTATAATCCTTAAGATTGTCATGAAATCAGACCCCATTTTTTTAATATAATTTATGGTTGTAATTTAATGTTTTTATGTTAAGTTATTATCTTTATATAGTAGTTTTCATCGTCAGTGGCGGAGTCTGCCATTCTTGTTTTGGATTCAAACTAAAGTGCACGAACGATTCACAGGAAACAATGCAGCATGTAATTCAGCATTACTGTCATCAGTGTTGGGAATAACACGTTACAAAAGTAACGCAATTAAAGTAATGTATTGCTTTTTTGCTAATATAATGAATTACTTTAAAAAAAACAGTAATATTAGATCCGTTAAAATCTCAGTAACGCGCATTACAATGCATTTTAACCCAAAATTAAGGGGTGTTTTGTTTTTTCTATAATTCTCCAACACCAAGAAACATTTCGGCAGCAGAAAAACAAAACATGAGTAAAAGAGAAACGCTATTTTCTGTTGCGGGAATCTGATGGTTGAGAATGTAAGCAGTGTGCAAACTATGGGAGAGCTCAGTTCTACTTAACAAGACGGTAGCTCCCCTTATGGATCATGTGTAAATAGATTTCTATAGGCTATGTGTTTGTGCTTTAACAAATTACTTTCCCTGATCACAGAGGCTGCTGTCAGTTCATCCTGACCGATCCTGTCGGAGTGTTGGGGGATTAAAATAATCAATGACATTTGCTGCTGTACCTCATGAGTAAATGCGTGGATATAACATCACTAGAACCCACCTATGCAGCCCATCTTACTATCAGAATAATTCGCCCAAATTATATATATTTATTTTTTTGGGACATTTGGATCAGTTTTAAATTGCAGCAAGTAATGAAACTAGAGGCTTCACACCTTGGCTGCATTATTAACACATACACTAGCTGCTCTTCTGCTGCATTTCTGACAAGGCAGCTGCTCAAGTTTGCTGCAGTAGTAAACCACCAAATCAACCAGGCCTGAAATCTTAAGGACTGCACCTTTAAGGCTATTTAAATTTAGTTACCTCTGTGCAGTGGGGATGTCGTCGGCTTTAAAGATATAAAACAGGGTATTTTTGTGATACAGCTTAAACTGCAGCTTCTGAGCCGGCCCGTTCTTCTCCTCCCTCAGGAAAAAACCGAGCAAGGGCTGACTCTCCAGCGCTGCAACGTCCTGGAGGGGAGAAATAATTACTCAACCAAAAAAGGTACAAAAACAACACAGAGTTTAGTAAAAAAAAAAAAAAAATAAATCACACAGTCTGGGTACCTCACTGGCAGCGTAGGTGTACAGGACTTTATTCTTAATGACAAACCACAGCCTCTTCCACTGCTTCTTGTTGCCTTTTGACCTGTTTAAGTAGCCGCTCATGGAGGAGTTCTCAGTGTTGGCGGAAACCTGGAAAAACAGCAAGCAGAAAAAGAGGTCACTTCACATACTCGCTACATGCCAGATACAGCAAAAAAAGTTGAACACCAAAAAGCTAATTTAGTACATGAGTGTGAATGTATGTTTCTTGCCTCTTTTAGTGCAGCAGGAATCTTTTTCTGTTTTCTAGTGAAGGAGAAAGCTCCAGATTTGATAGGAGAAACTGATGTGGAAGCACAGCGGTCACCTAAAAAACACAAAAAGAAAAATCATTAAAAACAGCAAAACCACATGGTTCTACCACAATTAAATAATCTATCGCATGTTAAATGACAAGTCTGACAATATTCTGTATTTCTGTTAATGTCAATATTGTCAACAAATCCCATGAGAAGACCAAAACCAACAATGTGATACTTTTCCTCTGTGGCCCCAAACGAATCAGTTCTGACTGTAGATGTAAATCTTTTTAAAAAAGGGGTTCCAAATATTTAGTTTTATCTTCAAAAATGCTACAAATATGTTTATACACTGTATTTTTTATGAGACATTAGTCAAACAAGAGGAAATAAGTTTCTTTGGTGTTCTTGTTTAATATTTGGGGCAACAGGATGGTGTATGTGAGACAAAATAAACAGTGTGTTTATGGCAATGTGGCAACATGTGTGACTCACTGATGTTTTTAAATAGTTTTTGGACTATAATGGAACTATATGGCAGAGGAATAAGATATATCAGGCTTTGGATACACGCACACAATACATATTAGTAGAATCAATTCATTTATTGTTTTTAAATATTTAATATCATCAGACTTTGAATCTGATTTTGTGCTGCTGAATTTCCAGACTATCTGAAATCCCTGTGTACTTACTATTCTCCTGCAGCTTAGCAAAGCAGTGATCACAGACACGTGCTGGCTGGTTCTTCAAGTACTCCAGGTAGTACTTATTGGCAGAGCATGCCTGACACACCACCTATCAGATACACATGTAACTGCGATGAGAAAGGGCTTCATTAAATGTTGTGTTGTAAGAGTAGGGGCAGTCAGAGTGTTACAGACCTTCCCACAGGCGCGACAGTGATGCCTCCTCCAGGTGAGGGTGAACTCGCAGGTACAGATCATGCACATGGTGGCCCTCAGGTCTGGAATCCAGATGGGAGCCTTTGAACCTAACGGGGCCCCGCTGTCAACGACACACTCCGCCTGAGTCCAGAGAGACTGAGCGTTAACATGGACACGTTCAGGGTGAAATTATTCTCAAAAACTCTCAACAGACACCCACACAGATTTACAGTTTTACCTCCTCCTGACTTCGACTCGATATGAATGTTATTTTCTTCTTAGTGTAGTCGTCTATGGCCTTGGCGATGGCCTCCAGCCACTCGTCTCTCTCTGTAGCTGAGCTGCAACCATAAAATAAACAAGAACTCTCAGGTACAGCGAACTCAGACGATTAAATATATAAATGTTTATCATGTTTGGATGATATATTTGTATGACAGTTGTTAAGACTGAGTGCTGACCTGGCAGACAAGATGAAAGAGCGTTCGACACTTTCAATGTTCAGCTCGTTCTGATAGGCCTCCTGGCTGGGTTTACTCACCTGGAAATCCAGAAATAACAGATTACCCCCAGAGATTGTGTACCATTGAAAATGTATGAGCAATGCTGAAACTCAGCCTCGATGCATCAATAATTCACTATAGCCGATATTTCAGTGTAGACTGAACACTAGTACATTTATAAGACTGGGATTCAAAAAGCAGCAGTGTGTCTAACCTTCATCCCGGCCAGAGAGAGGACACTGTTGAGTTTATACTGGCCGGACTGGACCGGAGTTGTGTACATGAGTGCATCATTGAACTGAAGAAACACAGAAACAATACAACGTCAGAAAAAAGATTTATGGAGGCACAGGACAATGTAAACATAGAACTTCTTCTGTAGATTAAATTAACTCCATTGTGAGAGGAAAGAAAAATGTAAAAGCATAAAGTAAGCTGGATTTAGTCATAGAAAATTTTCCATTTATTGCTCACCAGAAAGAACATCCGAGGCTGCATGACTTTCCGGGACAGCTTCATCAGAGTGCCCTCCTTCAGAAACACCTGCGAATACAGACATGTTTGCTCTAAATGGGGTGCATTTAACATACAGTATGTGGAGTCCAGTGGCTTTTATGACATGTAGGAAGTTTAAAATAGTCACAACTAAGACACAAAACAGAAGCTCAGGAGACAGTGATGAGGGGAATAAGTTTGTCATGTTGGGTGACGCATAAACATGTGTAAACGTGCAACAAACAAAAATAAAACACAGCTCCAACCGGAAGGGAACGAATTTAACGTCTTCTGACTAGTGGGCCAGAGGACACAATGATAGCAGGTAGATTAGGATTTTGGTGGTAGATGACTGTAGAGTATTATCAACAGTTATGGGATCTTTGTACTCAGTTTGTATGTATCGTTTTAATAAGATATTCAAATGTGGTTGTCTTTGTATTATTTTTAAATACTTTTAAATGTGAAATGTTTCTATTGAGAAAAAAAATCAAAATTTGAATGTTACTTTCTTCTCTCACAACCCTAAAAGAAAGTTATTGAAAAAAATCAGTAACACTGGTATCTGGCTGTCCTCTGAGAGAATTTACAAAACTTGGCAACGCTTTTGTGACTTACCCTGCCCGGCTGAACGATCTCATGGTGACCGTTGAGACTGTACTGAATCTGCATCAGCTTCTGAAAGTTATCCTGAAACACAACAAGATCTGAGAGGTGAGGAGAAACACAAGGCTGAAGTACACAAACCTTAAAGCTTTGTAATTGAATAAAGTCTTACCCCTTGTTTCATAATATCATTGGCATGGTTGGCCACTTCCTTAACTATGCTGAGGGCAGCTGCATGGATGGCAAACATTACAAACATAAACATTAGTGTTTCTACATCACAAGGGATCGTCTTGGTAGATACTAATAGTGATTATTGTCCTTTGTCTAACCTTGTGTGTCTTTATAATCCTCAGAGTCCTCTGGGAGGTTCTTCAGATAATCTAGAAAAGAGCAAAGAGGTTTCAGTTTAGGTGAGTTGTTTGCACCGGCACTACGGGACAAACAACAGCCTCAAAGGAAAAGGAGATGGAGCACGTGACCTATAAGGCAAACTTCCATGTGAACAAAAAAAAACAGGTTATATATACATAAAAAATGACAACTCTACCTACAATTAAGACATCACATGATGCCTATCGATTTGCAACTTACAGAGAAAACACATACTGTCCTATATCTAATAAACATTTCCTACCAGAAAAAAAAGGTGTTGATTGGGCAAAATATGCATGATAAAAAACTAATTAATATTTGTTCCAGCCACCAGGGGGAGACACATGAAAACACATTAGGTGCGTTTGGCGCTGCGCTGCGCTGCCTTAACATGATGGATGCTGGGCTTATAATAAGGCATGCTGGTTAGAGATTGTTTCCGACTTTCGGCGGCACTGCAACATGTCACCATTTAAAACCTCGGGGGAGCAAGGCGGCTGCAGGCGCCGGGTCAGCTCACAGTAAGCTCACGCAGGTAGAATGCGTCCGACTTGACGGTGCCGTTTTTATTCCCTGCCCCTGCGGTCGCTTGCAGCTCACGTTAGACTATGAAGTCAGCAAAAGTCAGCCGCAGTCATCTCGAACGCACCTATTGATTGATTTGATGATATAAGAAAAGTTTCCTAATTTTCAGTGTGCAGACAGCTTCTCCTTTTCCTTCATATGGTTTTTTATAATAATCTGATCTGTAGAATGTGTTCCTCATGTCAAACAGGTTCCTGTTACTGTCCTCTAGGTGCTGGTATAGTACCAAAACCAGAAGGAAGCCAGAGCAGAAAGACCTGACTTCAATCCAAGTTTGATTCACATACTGTCAATAAAAGAGCACCATGATTCAATCATTTTTAGTACGCAGATGTTTGTAGAACAGACCAGCACAGGGAGTGGATGTGTGTCAGGGTGTGTGTACCTGTGAGCAGCAGCTGGTACTGAGGGATTCTCTGCACTGGTTTCAGCAGGTAGTGTTTTAGAGCCAGACTGGCACATCTTGGACTCATCTGAGACAAAACAAACACAAAGTTGTTTTCATATGCTGCTGAAAACCCTCAGAAATCCAAATAGACACTGAAGCTTCCAATCAACTGCTTGATGGCTGCGACTGATAGCAACGATTTTAGATTGAAGCTGCAGATAGTTCAACAGACACGGATATGATTTAGTCTTTAAAGTTTTTTGGCAGAAAATGACAAAAGTTCCAGTTAAAACTAGACAAAGATTCATTTAGATATACCCGTAAATCAAACTTTTTTGGTTACAGCTTTAAAAAAAAAGAAGTTTTTTATGACCATTCAATTGTGAAAATAATTATTAGCTGGACCCCTAATTAACAAACAATAGAATTATAACAACTTTCACTGTCAGAAAACACATGATGCTCAATAAAAACACACTCTGTAAAAGAAAACACAAAAGCTCTACCTCAAACTCTTTGACAACAGTGGCGAACGCTGTGTTTTTCCTGCACTGTTCGTCCAACAGAGCCACGTTGTTGTCAAACTGGCGGATGTAGGTGGAGTACATCTTTAGGTAAGGACCCTTCTGGACAAAGATGTCCGACAGCCTCTGGTGATCGCTCCTATAGCCAGACAGACACAAACAAGTCATTCAGTATTGCAGTAGTAGATTAAAAGAAATATAAGAAAACAAATAAATCTAAGAAATAACTCCAGTTGGGGATTAGCGCAAGTAAAAATAGTGACAAAGAAGAATAAATTACTATTACTTAGTGTTTATGATAACATTTTACACACATACTCAACAACAAAGATCTAGGGATTCAGTAATATTGTTAAGTCCAGTAAAGTTGCAGCTCTGAGAGGTTGTAAACAAACCTCCAGTTAAACACAAAGAATAATCCTTGGGAAGGATAAAATAACAGTGGATGCACTCAAACTGTCCATTTAAATTGTTAATTGCACTGTAAAACTGCACAATCACAGCAATTACAGTAAGGCAATGTTGAACCAGGTAGCAGCTCTACTAACATCTGACTAACAGACAGCTTGGATGATAACTTTAACATTCTCATTTGTTTAAACTAGCTTAGAAAGGGGGTATTCAAACTGTGAGGTGTGCCTCCTCGGGGGTGTGTGTGTGGGAGAGTTGCAGAGTGAGAGAGAGAGAGAGAGAGAAGTGAGGCAAACATACTGTGTGATCTGAAAGGGACAGGTGCAGACCGGCGTTATAAAAACAACAGGAAGTTGGTTATTGGCTGTTTATCAATACGGTCAGCAGTTGGAGCTGCGGCAGAATCTGTGACACACAGCTCATGGAGGCAATTAAGGTACTTTAAAACGCTTGGCACCCGATTGCCCTAATTTACATTAAAAGTTGTACTCGTTCTTGGATAGTGTTGTAGTCAAGACCGCCGAAACCGAGACCAAGCCAAGACCAAGACCAGAGTTTATCGAGACCAAGCCAAGACCAAGACTTTTAGGGGCTGAGAGCAGTCGAGACCAAGACCAAGGGTGGGCGAAACCGAGTCAAGACCAAGACCAGTTCCCTGCATTGCATGGCACGCAATAAAATGTGGAACGAGCTCGTAGGTACTTCTCAAATTGATCTGAAAGATCCACATTCCCATTAAAACACCGACATACAAACACTAAGAGCTGAAATCAACGTAAGCATCGCAGGGAGGAGTGACAGTCGTTAATTAGGGTTATTGGTTGCATTTGTAGCAATTTGTTTTACTTCCAATCAAAGTTAGGATGTTAACAAATCAGACAATGCAAAAGCAATTTATTGATATTCCCAAAGTTACGGTCTTGAAATAAAATCCCGAGTCCTCAATGTCCGAGACAAGACCGAGTACAAAGGCGGTCGAGACCGAGATGAGACTAAGACCATCAAAAAGTGGTCTTAAGACCAAGACTGTTCTCGAGTACTACAACACTATTCTTGGAGTCAGAACTCAAAACTCATGATACTTAAAACTGCAGAACCTGGCTCATCATGTTTTTAGTTTTTCTTCTGGATTAAAGTAATTCAGTGATAGCAGTTTGTACATCCATGGGTACAGTGCAAACAGGAACTGCTAAAAGCTAATTCAGCATAATTGTAATGATGCCAAAATGTAAACAAATATAAGCTAAAAAAATGACCATAGACTGTATAAAGAAGGTCATGACTCACTGAATCAATAGCAAAATCCCCCAGAGCATTATGGTAACTGTAGTTGCAAAACTTAGGCCACAATTATCTACCAAACAGAAGTGACACTAAGAAAGTTAATAAGAGTGAACAAATCTAATAATATGAACTTTTTAATGCTTGTACTATATATATATATATATATATATCTTTTTTTTTTTTTTACATTTACTAATTTGGCAGACACTTTTATCCAAAGCAGCTTACATTTGAAGAACCACATACACGCATCAGTAAAGTAAGAGTTAGTGCATATTATGTACATATATACCTAAGGGAATAAGTAAGAGTTAAGAAAATAGTGCAAACAATATAAGAGAATTGTAAGGAGACAGAAGAAGAAGAGCACAGGAAGTGCAAGGTTAGGAGTTAGAGAAAGTGTTCTCTGAAGAGATGAGTTTTCAGGAGCTTCTTGAAGTTAGAGCGGGGCGCCCGCGCTCTGACGGCATGTGGGAGCTCGTTCCACCATCGTGGAGTTACAGATGAGAACAGCCGGGACTGAGATTGCTTTGTGGGAAGGGATGGCAGAGCCAGGCGGCGTTTGTTGGAGGAGCACAGTGGCCGAGAAGGAACGTATGCTTGTATAATGGACTTTAGGTAGATGGGTGCACACAGATCACTCTGTGTGTGCAAGCATTAATAACTTGAATTTGATTCAGGAGGCCGTGGGTAACCAGTGGAGGTTGCCGGGTTACCCTAGTACTTATTACAATAATAAAAAGTGTGTGTGTGTGTGTTTACCAGTGTGCCACTCTATCCTCCAGCTCCCTCAGCAGATCTCTATTGAGCTGGTAGAGTTGTGGCAGGTAATACAGGATCTGGCTGAGGATCCGCTCATCCACCACCGGCTTCCCATTCTGACGGGTTGCCTTGGCAACAGCATCCCGAAAGTCCTGAAGAAGACACGGAGGGTTAACGCTAGTAGTATTACACACACACACAGCTGTACAGGGTGGGGTGACATATGACAACATATTGTATTGCAGCTGAACAGGAACACGTGATTATCACCTCATAAACTGCCCCCCTACCCCCCAACACCTCTGCACATATTTTATAACACACACACACACACACACAGACACGCAGTGTCAGCACTCTTGACACTTGTCCAGCATGCCAACACACACATCCACCTGGAAGGAAGCAGGGAGGCCACGCAGGATCCCAATGTCCTGATTAACATGAGCTCTTGCTTTCTCACACACGCACACACAAGTTCATTAAGCAATAACATGTCACTCAAAATAACACCTATCAGTAGCGTCTTTTTAATTGATTTAATTTTATATGATGTTCAGCCTACCTGCAAAGGGCATCTATTGGTGCAGTGAGTAATATTTTATTTACAAGCAGATCATAAATTCTACTATAAGCATATATCTAATTACATCCTCTTACATTTTTGCTGTTGTTTTGTCATGTCATGCTGAACTTTTCTGATCATCAACTTAACAAAGCAAAGTAATTGCTAATTCTCTTGTTCCCACAACTTGTGCAAATCCCTGCAGCCTCATTTGAACAGAGCAGAAACAGATACACAACTAACCCAAAACAGAAAGCTTAAAACAAAAAGCTTAACAAATGCCAAAGAAAATGGAGATATATGCACTATAATCACGGCTTATAAAACTATCACTTATGATAACAGGGAAAAACAAAAAGTGCCTACGTTCAGTCTTATCCAGTCCTTCAGGTAAACTGACAAACCGCCGTCTTAATATTCACAAAACACACATGAACGCTGGCTTCAAATAAACCAACTGCAAAAAGGGACAAACAAATGTAAACACATCGGCCGGACAATATGCCTCAAGTATGCACACACAGTTACCAACCCACGCACCCACCTGCACACACACCACACATACTACACTCACACACACAGAGGATTATCTAAGGTATGTGTGTGTGTGTGTGTGTGAGTGTGTGGAGCTCGTCTCTGCGGCCTGAGGAAGCAGCTGCTGCGCCGCCAGTCCGTCCGCGGAGAGAGAAGAATGCGATCTGACCTCTTTTCTTGGACAGAGCGCCGCGCCGCGCCCTCCCCCGTCAACCACAGGACGACGTTTTCTACTAACCCTGTGGTGGTTTCACTAAAGCCACGTCTGAGGCCAGCAGACAGGTGCACCCTTAACCCTCGGTGTGGGTTGTCTGAACCCTCTCACCTGGGATTCCGCTCAGGACAGACCCACTAAAGAGTCTGTCCTTGGCATATAAACAAACAAAGGCAGAGCTGTCCTGTCAACTGTTACAGACCAAAACAACAACAACAACAACAAAATACGCCAAAAATCCTCTGATATGTGTAAACACTTCTGGCATTTGTATAACACATCAAAACGTTGACATGGCTATCTAGGTGCTGAGTAAATGTTCTGGACCTCGTGTCTGCTCAAAAACATTTTCAACAAGAGCACATGGACACAGAGCAGGGGCATTTTAAGTCACAAGACCCGCCTGATTTTGCTCATGTCATGTTAACAGCCATCCAGTCACATGGTTCCTGTTAGTCTCGCCTTCATTCAAAACAGAGAAGCATGCAACATGATGAGCGACAATACCGCATTTTAGCATATTTCTTTGAAACTAAATAGTTGAGCAAATCACATATTGCAGACGTGTGCCTTTCAAATGTTTAAAAATGTGCTAATCTTTATCTAAATCTATAAAATATATCTTTTCAGTGCAGTAACAGTCCTTTTTTAAAATACTTCTTGACCATGGCTTACTATTTTCATATTTTCTGGGCTTGTCCTTTAATTTTCTTGTACTTCCAGTAGATTAATGAAGAGATAATGAAAATATGTGACATAGCTCTTTGTTACAATAACCATGGAAAAATTCCAAAGAAACACATAGCAAAGGAATAATCTCTATTTAAAATATTTATGGCTGCCAGCAAGAAGCCATCACCCAGAAATGACAGCAAAACAAAGGACAAATAGAGTGCAACTGTCAATGAAATAAACTGTACGCATTGATTAAATAATTCATTAAAGATTTCAAATACTGGAAATCCTTGCCTAAATATGTGTGCCTATAAGATGTAACCCACAACATATGTTATTGAGAGACCCTGTTCCTGTTCAGGTATTGTGTTGACCATTTCAATGTGAAATTAAATAAATAAAGTCAGAAAAACAAACTTTTTGGCATCTAAACTCACCTCAGAGCCAAACCAACTGAAGACAAGCTAATAATATCTCTTTTTAAGTCAACTCATGCTCTTTTTCTTGCATGACAGTGTCAGCTGTAACGGTACAGATCAAAGCACCGCCTTCCTACTCAAGGCTGTGCGTTTACCTGCCCACTGCCGTCCCCAGGAAACCTCCAACACAGCAACTTTTAAAAGCCTCAGCTGTGAAATAGCTGCATTGTTCAACTCTGCACTTGTGCAAAGACAACACCAGCCAAGACCTCATTAATTCACGTCCATCCCTGGGAAAAGCTTTGATCCCCATTCAAAACGATCACAGCGTCAGTGTGGGTAACAAAACATACAGTGCGATTTATTATGCTAGGCACTAAAAGTGTTCTTTTATTATAAGTCTTTGAATAAATAGGACACTTACTATGTGAAGAAGCTTCAGGACATCAACAAATCTGATAAAAGAGCAGAAATACAACCATAAAAAAATAAGCACATTTGAGGTTTTTATCACAGATTTTCCTGGTTCATTATAAAACCACTCACACTTTCTCTGAGCTCATAATCTCCTGGGCGATGTGCACCACCTTCTTCCTCTTCATCTCGTCCTCTTGCTTGAAGGAGGAGAAACACAAACAGTTAAGCAACGCCACAGAAATGCTAACAGCGAGTGACTTACCAAAACACATCACTGTTCACTCACAGGCTCACTGCAAATCACCATGATCCTGTTTCACTCTGTAAAACCATCAGGACTGAGTTTACATCCTTACAAACAACAGCTCAATCAGGCCTGAAAGTGGAGCACCGACCTTCCCCTTCTCCCTCTCCCTCTCCTCTCCCTGTGTCTTTCTGATGGTGTGAGTTGTTGAATGGTAATGGGGCGGTCTCTCAATGACTTAATTTGGACGGCGGCCTTGGCCCCCCAGCTTGACTGAAATGTCCTACTGGTCCTATCGGAGCCTGTGTTTGTGATACCCTGGAGCTTTGAGGGGCATCGGACACAGGCGCTGACAGTATCATGGAGAGGGTCACACAGGACGAAGAAAGAAAAAAATAAACCTCTTTCAGTTATTGAGAGAGCTATTTCTGAACCTGTAACCCTTCTGTGTTTGCTCACCATCCCCCCTTTCAACACACACTTATGGAAAGCTGTGACAGGCAACAAACACACTTGGCAGCAAACGTGCACACAATCTCCAGAGGCTGCAGTGACCGTTACTTCCATTGTAATCTGTAAATGCAATTTTATGTGTTGCCATCATGTCTGAAAAGAGCAAAGTGGCATTTTTATGTAAATGTGGCTCTGGCATTCCTCTTACATAGGACCTAGTAACATTTCTGTAGCGTTTTCCCCATGTCTAAAGTGTGAATAAACACAGCCACATTAAGACAACATGGAGTTGTGGTTGCAAAATAAACTGGAGAGGTCAAAACATTTCTGTTGCTTAAAAAAGGTCTTTAAAAATCTTTGCTTTTTCTTGTGAAATACTGTGGAGTCTTACTTCTTAATGACTCAAAAAAACCATTATAATTAAACAATTTGAGAAGGGAAACATCGCACATTGGTTACTTAGAGCTCAAAGACAAGTGCAAGTTTGCACAAGCCTAAACGAGGGGGAACTATGTGCATTAAGGAATGCACATACAAGTTTATAACACTGCTATGAACGGAGGTAGAGCAAGTGCTCAGAGCCTTTGTGTAAGTAAAAGTTGCATTACTACAATGTAGAAATACTGCTAATGTACTTAATGCAGTAAAATGGAATATGTCAGTGTCTCACTAATACTTTTCACATCATTAGACTTTTGTTATGGATGCATTGGTGTGTAATTAGCATTTACTGTTGAGGTTGGAGCTTTTTAACTACCTTCACATACTGTTATATACTTGGTAGTTTAATCTATAACAGTGCATTGTACTTTAAATGCTTATCATAGGTTTGTTTTGTAAATTCTTAATTTGCAAAGTAACTAGAGCTGTGTAATGTAATGTAGTGGAGTAAAAAGTACAATATATTATAGTATAAAGTGGTATAAAATGGAAATACTCCAGTAAAGTACATTCTACTACTGGCTTTATACAACAATTCATTCCCAAGCAAACACAACAGACTTGCAAAACATGCAAAAACTGCAGCTCTATTCAGAAAAGGCAACATGGAAAAATTCCATAACAAAGATCTATGTGTGACATTTTATACAATTTTCATGGCTAAAAAGGGGCTAGAGGAAATCGTTTTTTGGGGTGTACAGTCTGACATTTTGATCACTGTAATAATTTAACTTTTAACTTTAAGTTAAATATGTAAGAAGAAGTGGGTGCCAGAAAACGGTTTGCCATTTTTGGTTGAGTCACTCAGGCAGTTAATTAACTATCAAAATAATAAATTTTCTGATTGCAACTTTAATATTTTATCTGTTGGTCAGACAAAGACAATTTGAAGATGTCACCTTGGGCTCTAAAATGTTTCATAACAATAATAGTAACAATAATTGTCAGAGTAGTTAATAACAATAACCAACAACAATAAGTTGCAGCCCTAATATGATTCATTTATTAAATATAAGTGTGTTTTTCATTTATTTTAGCCATAATAAGATGTTTGTTTAACTGACAGGCCAGTTTTGAAAGAATAAAGTTGACATAAAATTTTAATTTCTAAAAAACAAGGAGAAATCACAAGGATGTCTAACCAGATGTTTGTTATAATTAACTCCACTGGTGGTTAACTACAGTCAAGGGTGGTATAGAAACAAAATACATTTTTACTGGTTTTGATATCTATTTAATGAATCCTTACAGTTTTGTCTAGGTGCTCCTTGCTGGAGGTGGAGCTGTTGTCCTCTTCGTCTGAACTGTGGATCTCCTCCTCCTCGGAGTGGACGTCCTGGCTCAGCCAGCCACTGCTCGCCAAAACACAGAAACACAGACGGCACACATTTAACACAACAAACTGTGTGAGAGGTAAAGAAAGATTAAAAGAACTGAACTTTGGGCTGGGTAGGTGTGCGTGTGTCATTGTGTGTTCAGAAACACCCTCCCTGGATAAATAAAGATTAAAGTGTAGGTTTTGTGCAAGAGGGGGACTTGATAATATCTTTACTCGGAAGAAGCATACGTCAGTATAAGACTCATAGGACACTCATTCAGAGATTGTGTTCAATGGAAAATATTGATTACACTGTGACAACATCTATCTAAGATAATTTCAACGTCCTCATTTTTGAGGTTTGAAGAAAATACCAACACTGGTTGAGTAGAATTTAAAAATCCCTGGCGTGAGATAGAAAAGATCGCTCAGCATTAGTATAGTAATACACAGAGCTGCAATGGTTAGTCATTAATCAAATCTATTAAATGAATTTTTAATACAAAAAGTTAGAATTCTCTCATTACATCTTTTATTTGTGATTATTTTCTGGTTTCTTTTCTCATCTATTACATTAAACAGAATATGTTTGGGTTGTGGACAAAACAGACAAGACATTTCAGGATGTCCTCTTGAGCAAAACACTGATCAACACTTTCCACAAACAACTAATTGATTAATGGAGAAAATAATCAACAGATTATTCGACTATGAAAACAATCGTTAGTTGCAAGCCTACTACACAGTAGTGCTTCAATAAACTTAGCCCTACAAATTTGATTAAAAGGGTAAAGAAAATCTGTTACTATTGTATGTATTGAGGTGCATTTGAGCCTAGATGTGTTCACTTAATCTACTTAAGTGTATTTGAATGGTGATGCGTTCACTTACTGTGGCCCAGTCCTAATTATTATTATGTTTTAGGTAGGCCTATACCCACTATATTAAAACCTGTATTTCTACGAGCTGCATCTTTATCAACCCTGCGGCTGGCAGCAAGACGACATGCTGACTCGGCTCTATACACAAAAAGTGTTGTCTGGCAGGTTAGTACAAGCAGCAACATGTGTTTGAGTGTCACTAATGTTTTGATCCAGCTCTCATCGTCTGTTCTGTAGAATTAAGCTGTCGGATTTCAAAGACTTCAGATGAGGAGGAATTAATGTGTTTTGATTTCGCCTCTAAAGCCCTGTCCTGCTGTTTCTCTGTGCAGAGCCCTGTAGATGTTGCACGCTGGCAAAAAGGGTGATGGCTCAGAATAAATATTAGATAGGAAAGACCCGGGGGACTCCAAAAATTCTCACATTTCCTTTCACTCTCATCAGCAATAGCCCACTCTCTCCACTTCCTTGTTTCTTTTACCTAAATTGCAACACACACACACTCACTCTTCCTCAGCTTCTTTCTCCCGTATGCTTTCTCTATAGTCGAGTATTCCAACACACTGGGTCAGGCACAGAGCGCCACTTGTTTACAGCCTGAGGCTACTTACATAAACTTAACAGGCTCAGATGCCTGGGAAACACTACAGAATCACTTGGTTCCTCCTTCTCCTCTCAAACACACAAACACCCTGCTAACCACTCTGCATACCAGACAGAATTAAGAAGCTGGGTACATCTTAATTGCTTTAAAGGGCTGATTTCACATTTGTGTAGCTCCTCATCACCTAACGTGGCCTTGGCTTCATCACTTGTAGAGCCATGGTCTATCATGGGAACAGTCTGGGCCTCTTATCAAGAACAGAGTGACTCAACGGGATCTTAATAGCATCAATGTGACAAGGTGACGGAGTGAAATTTTCTCAATTGTTTAAGACATTTGTCGAGCAAAAATCCAGATTCTCAAGTTTTAGCTTCTTAAGAGCTGCGCTAGTCAATACTATTTAATTAAAATGAGTTGTAGCGACGAACCCACAGAGAATTATCACTGCAGTTACTTTTAACTCTACTCTTCAGCTCATTGTTTTGGTTTTAGATGGCTACTTAACTGTTTTGGTCCAGTCTCACAGTACTCCTTGTTGTCAGAAGAAGCAGGCAGCCGTCTTCTGCGAAAATGCTATGTTAAGCCCACTATACGCTACCTGCCCAGCACTCAAGGGTGAACAGAGAAAGTTAGCAACAAGCTGGTGAACCTAGCATTTAAGATATTTGTTGGTGGAGACCAAAAACTGAGCCGAAAGAGAATGAATATTGGACTTATATTCATCAGGCGTACACAAACACAACTCCAAATGAATGCTAATGTTGCTACGTGTCTGCCGGATGCGTAAATAAGCAACTACTTGCTGACACAAACGCCATAACAACTTTAAAAAGGTGATAAAATATCAAATGTTGTGTTGAAAGCTTGTTCTGCGGCCAAAAAAAAACAACAATGAATGCTGTTTTAAATGTGAGGATTCCCTGCTATTCTGTTTTATATTATTGTAAACTGAATATATTTTAGATATTTGAAGGTGTTACCTTGGACGATTAATCCTGTTAATTAAAAAAAGTGACAAATTCATTGATAATGAAAATAATTATTAGTTGCCCTGATGTTTTATCTTCACTAACTAAAAATGTGATTCTTTTGCCAAATACTTTGACTTGCATTGGAGTATTTTGGGAAAAAATATAACTAAAAGATTAATTTAAAACATTTCCATGAACTTTGGTGAACAGTGGTTTGAGCCAAGAAACAACTGGATATACAATGTCATGAAAAAGCAAGTCAGAAACCAGTTCATTGCTGGAGGAGGTTTTGTAGTAATACATTTCTTTATGTGGTTGTCGTTGCTCTTCCCACAATAAATCGTGTCTTTTATCTTTAATAAGATATTGTAATTTATGTATGCAGTTTATTCTTATCAATGTCCTTTGAGTGTGTGTGTGTATTATTTTATGTTTTCTCGTGCCCTCTGCAAACTGCTACTTTTACGTAGATGTGATGTAAAAATGTGATTTATTTGTTAAATTAACGATTAGAACAAAACTTTCTTCTCACAGAGACACAGAGAAGGAAAATGGAGTGATGAGGTTAGGAAGAGGCTAAACACAGTGCGAGGGCGGGCACACTGAGGAGGAGGCTGGTGGTTGCTCGAGGTTTATTTTCCCTGTTCTAGAGAGCTGCGTGGTGTTTCTGCGATTCTCAGACATTTCCTGCTCTGGCCACTGAAAATAACCCACAGGAAAAGAGGCCGACCTGCTGCACATAAATGCTCTATTCAAATTCAGTGCCCCTGGCTCAAAGGCTGACTTTCACACTGGTGTAAATACAAACCACTAACGTCACCTGTGCAACCTGTCGCACACAGCGGTTCCCACACTGGATCTTAGGGTCACAGAGAAGCAGCAAGTGTACAGCAGATCTGTATCGGACCTGCATCAACTTTCAGGCTTGTTTTCCTCAGAAACACAAGAAGCTATTGTTCACAGTATAAAAGTCTATTTATTTGAAGTTAATAATGGCTGCTAAACAGACATGTTTTCCTTATTTTCTGTTATACTGAGAGATTATTCTGACTCAGGTGTTGCTGCTGGATCACCTTAGAAACATGATTATAGAAAGTTGAATAGAGACAAAAATAAGGGTTGAAACTATTAGTTGGATGCTAAAAAATTAAACAACAATTTTGATAATAGATTAATGGTTTACAAATGCAAAACATCTGCTGTTTAAGATTTAAATTCAACAATTTGCTACTTTTATGTGTTTTAAGGCATTCAGAAATGATATTTCATAGACCTTTGTTGTGTGTCATTCTCCGTCTCTCTCTCTTACCTAAATTCTTATCATCTCTCTACTGTAATCTTTCTAATAAATGCATAAAACGCCCCAAACAATAAAAAGAAATTGACAAATTAAGTTGCACCAGATGTTCACAAACTTGTAAATATGTAAAATACCGTACCTCTCGTACTCAAGGTCCTGGTATTTGTGATAGGGGTCCTGCACCTCATAGATGTCTGAATCAGCAGTATCAGGGTCATGTGGCCAGCCCAGCCTCGCACTGTGAAATGGCAGGTTCATGTACTCGGGAATCTCCTCATACAGAGGAACGTTTTCATACTCTACTGATTCCTCTCCACCATCTCCGCAAATATCAGCCTCCCCTATGCAGCTTTTGGGCCGCTCCAGGCTTTTTTCCGCCCTATTTGACTCCACGCTGGTACAGTCCAGGGACTGACCTCCCTTTGCCAGCAGCTTTGGCAGCATCTTGACAGACAGCCTGAGCTCCAGCAGCTTCCGGAAAGAGAGGCTCCTTTTGTGAGAGTCGGCTCGGGTTGCCAGGTCAGCTGCAGAGAAGGACTGCGCCCTCTGCTTGCCCCCCAGAGCCGGAGCTCGGCTCTTTGGCGGCATGCTGCTCCTGGTGGGTATCTGCCGGTTGAAGAAGGTCACACAAGGTCGGGTGAAGCGCCAGGCCGTTTTCTCCTGAGGCGGCGCAGGCAGCTCCCTCATGGGGGTGTTAGCATGTGGAGGTGCAGGAGGGCAGATGGAGGGTGGAGGGGGTGCTGGCAGGCTGTGTCTCTGAGGTTTTCTGGGCGGCGCCCTCGGTGACTGCTGATCCTCGGCAGAAAAGGCTTTCCTTGCGTTTGCTAGAGGAGGATGACAGCCAAGTTTGATCTGTTTGGGGAGGCTGTGAGTGATCGGGTAGCGCTCAAAGTCGCCGTACCCGTCCTCTTCGTCCTCCTCCACCCGGTGCTGCTCGCCCTCATTTTTGTGGCTCAATGAGTCAGCATGTGAGAGCAGGACTAAAGAGTGGGAGGTGTTTTTGTTCAGAGAAGAGGGCACGTGGACTGTTCTGTGAAGGCGAGGTGAGAGGGAGGTCTGTCGAGGAGGGGGGACAGGTGCGTCGCTCTCATCCTCTCCCAAACCTTCCAAGTCTTTTTGGGCTAAAGTGTCATCACATGTGTCCTGTTTGAGCTCCTCGCCCTCTGAACTGAGAGACAGACCAGCTAGACTCAGTTTCCCCTCAAGCCCCTGTTTTTGATCCTCTGCCCCATGATCCTGGGTGCTGCCCTCCACGCCATCCTGCCTCACCAGGGCTGGCTTTTTAAATTTACGTGGGTGAGGGACAGGGAGAGGCTTACTGGGGGCTGCAGGGACCTGCAGATCAGGGAGTAACCTGGTAGGAAAAGCATTTCTGATAGGCTCTCTGTATTCTACCTGAAAGGATTCTGCAGAAGACTCATGAGGAGTGATACTTGAGGGGACAATGATGCTGCCTGCAACATCACAGGCTGACTGAGAGTCTGTTACATCTATCTTTTGAGCCTCCGTCTGTACATCAGCTTTTGAAACATCAGGCTCAGCAGCAGTACTTTCCTGATGCTTTATAGTCTCTGAAGCTTTTTCCTTCTGCTCCTCTGTCCTCTGTGGCTCTTTGTTTAGGGATATCCTATCCAGGTGTCTCTGTCTTTGAGGTTTATCCCTGGGCTTTTTGCTCATCCCTCCACCTTCACCCTTCTTTACAACTACTCCCTCCTCCCGGTTTTCTGCCGTAGAAATCCCATTCTGCAACAGCTCTTTGTGCAAATCGCTCTCAATCCCCGTTGTACTTCCGTTTTCCAGACGCTGGCACTGTGAACAGTCCTCAAGCCCACAGGAGCAGGTGGGAATGATGTAATATGATTCACATTTGTTAGTTTCTGATAAAATCCCATTTTTGGAGTTGAGAAGAGAGAGGCTATCACCTAAAGCCTCCTGTTGTTCCGGAGATAGGATAAGTTCACTGGGTCTGGGTGGCGGGGGTGAAACAGGGGGAGGTGAAGCTGTGGATTTGGGAATGCATGGTTTGGGGGCAACAACCGGTTTTGTCCTCTTTAGAGTAGCAGGGGAAGGTTGGGAGATGACCGAAGAGTGGGAAAGAAGACCTGGTTTGGGGGCGATGGGCGGGGGAGAGGGTTTGGTGGTAGCAGGGAGTTTAGGTTTGGGAGCTAATGGAGGCTTCTTCACACCTGCACGTAAAAGAAGAGGGAGGAGATTTACAGAAAAGTCAAAAATCCTTCAATCACACTTCCTTTTTTAATGAATCATGCAACAACAGAACGGCACATCATCAAGCTTGCATCATCCACACCTAACTGGAATATAAGCACTGACAGCTGCAAGGTGTGGTTAAGGCTAAGGTCAAGAGGTCACTCTTAGGGTCAGTGGGAGAAGAACTGAGGGTTGGAGGGATCAAAATTTAACAAATTTATGAAACTCTTGTCACATCTGCTCAGCTATTTTGATGTATTTTAAACCAATTATCTGATAAACGAGTACTGAAGGGAACTCACTTGTGGCAGTAAAAATAAAACAGGATTTTTCAGTTCAGATTCACAGTTAAACTTGTACTCTGTTCTTTGAGAGAGGTTTTGTATAAATGACACCAGCAGAAACCAATATTATATATATATATATAGAATAATTGGTATATTTCTGTTGTGTCCTCCTATTGAAATCATGTATTGACATAATTGTTTCTTCCTGCTCAAACTGTCTGCTTCTGACAGTTTGTGTTCTTGTATTTCTAAAAGTCATAGCTTAAATTACTCTTTTTGGTCTGTTTAAAATAAATAAATAAATACTATTTTTTGTAGTTGAAGAGGCAATGTGATTCTCAATGGGATGAAACTGGTTAAATAATTAAAAAATACAGTGTCTCCGCTAATAAAAAGCTGTGAATTTAAATTGTAGGCCATTTTTCCGCTCTACTGGCTGAAACTCTTGGCTGGCCGACACCACGAGAAGTGGAGTCATCGGATGTTTCCGAAAAGGCCAACGACCAAAAACCGCTCTGCCTCCTAATACACGCTCCCTTTGCAGACGGAGCCTCGCTCCAAACCAAACTCAGCTCGAAAATCACGAAGTATAAAGACACTGTGCCTACAAAGGAAAAATACCTAAGTGGTGGGATAGTAATAAACGTTTGTTTACTAATTATTGAGAGCCACTTTTCAATTCGGCATACAACTTCTATTAGAAAAGTACAACTTTAAGAAGTGGTTCTATGGGTTCACCCAAATGTATATCAAAATCCACCATGGATGGCGGTGATGAGCAGGGTGGAATCAATAAACTGTATCCGACTGTTAGTTGGTGGTGTATCTATAAGCCGAATTTGCCAGTACATGCTAACGATGCCATCAAAGTTAATAAACTATGTCCTCGGACTTACGAGCCTACGAATAACCGACACAAAATTAAACCGACAGATTTTTCAGCGGAAATCTGGCCTTGCGTTTTCGCTGTAAAAGCCAACGCCAGGTAACGTTATCTCGACTAAAACTGCTCATGTCGTGGAAAAAAAACATCACAAAAACTCTTTGGCACATATCCTATTTGGTGACACGATTTGCCCGAGGGCACCGCTCTTCATACAAGCAAATGTTAACTGTTTTACATGAGATGTTAACTTTGCAGCGCATTATCGAGTCCGACTTGTTGCATCAACAGCAGGACAGATGTTTTAGGACAAAGGATTTAACCCCCTCCAGCTGCAACAGTAGCTGTAATATCAAACAGAAAGGGAAAATGTGTGATTGTGAGTTATGACTGCGTTTTTAGAAAGCATTCAAATTGAAGCCTATCCTCTTTTATATCTTTTTGAAAGCTGTTATTAAGAAAAGCTGTAATTAACTGTGGCTGAGTAAAAATAGAGTGGATGCAACCGTCCGTTATAACATAAAAATTGCCAAGTTTCTCAGTTTCTGCGACTAAACTAAAATTAGATTTTAGTTTTACCTAACCACAATAAACGCTTGCACAGCAAGATTTTGCTAAGTTAAGTTAGCTCCCCCACGAAACAAACCTGTGCTCATGACTCCCGACTTGCTCCTTTCTCCATGGGTAAATATACTTTCAATGGAATTGCGAGAAAATCTGCGCTTTTTCCTCCTTCGACACCATAGTCAGATTGAAAACCACATCAGGGAGAAAAAATACAGATCCATAGTCGCTGTTCCTTATCTCGCCAGCGGATGCACGGATAAACTCTTTACGCCTGTTACTTTTTCCATTTTTCCCGAAGTTTTTAGCCACGGTGCTTTTCCCAACATTGTCATGTAGAATACAACGAAACAATTAACTTCCGGTTATCCACTTAACAATAAAACTACTGTTGGAGAGGATCTGGTTGTTGTTGGAATATGAAGTAAAAACACAGAAGTGAGCATAAATGTTTATTGGCATGGATATTTCCAGTAAATTAAGATGTAATTGCTGCTGTTTATGCAGTGTTTTATGTTGACAGCGCATTGTAATAAAACGTATAGTTTTTATTTTGAAGCCGATTTCCGGTGATGTAGTGGATATTTTCCTCTAACTTTACCTTTCCTAGCGTTCCAAACGGTTGGGACGCTTCCTCTCGCGGCCACTTGGGGCGCTCTAACAGGCGCAGGCGGTTGTTTGTTGCTCGCGAGGAAGCAGCGGTTGAAAAACGAGCATTATGGGAATTGCAGTTTTATGCGTAGTTTTAGCAACCGGCTAACTACTAACTTCTCAGCGGCTGTTCTTGACTACTGTCGCCTACAACTTCAGAATGCATAACGGGCTGTGTATAGATGGCGGAGAGCAATGACTGAGGAGTTTGATGAAGATGTGGTATTTGAGGTTTGTATATATTCCCGCCGCTGTTTGTTATCGAAACTTGTAAGTGATGCTTTGTCATACCTCGCGAGCTCTGAGGTAAATATAGACGTTGGGTCCCCGATTCATTGACGACAGCTAGCTTCGGTAGCTAATGTGTGGCGTTAGCTGCCTAGCTCCACATAAGCAGCCGCTTGCTCTGTTGCAATGCGTATACAATCCAAAACAAATCCACATATTTGGCCGGCTGCTAACTGTGTTTCTGCCAAGGAGCTTTGGTGGTCATGAGAAGGGCTGAGCTGGGCTAGTGTGCGCATTGTTGTTGGTGTTTCATCATTGCTAGACTGGTACAGTCAAGAGGTGGGGTGTGGATGACCAGATCCAATGCGTCGGTTCTGCAAAAAAAAAAACCCTCCACAGACTCACACGTAGCTTCATCTGGATGGTGACAACATGTGCTGCGACTTCGTGTAACAATGCATGTGAGTAGTGTTTAATTGTTTGACTGCTGTCAGTTTGTTATGATAGTAAAATACATTAAGATGAGATGCTCGTGTGCACCAGAGGCACCAAAACACAGTAGAGATGCTTGTAAGAGTCATGTTTTCCAAGCAACAGAGGATCAGCAGCTGGGTGAGAACTGGGTCAGGCCAATTTTTTGGACAAATTTAAACACGGGATGCTTTTCCTCCTCTCTGCTTTTTTTTAATTTCTCTGATTTAGTGGTGAGCTTTCTTTGTTCAGGATAAGAAACAACATCGCCATGTGTTTATCCCTGAATGAGAAGCTACGATTACTACATGATGAATTGGGCTTGCATTTAATCCAGTATTCATGCAGGAGAGAAGACTTAACAGAAATATTGGGTGCATGGAGAGGCTGGAAAGACAGTCCTGGCGTCTGCATGTTGATTTACAGATTCACATGTGAAGGCACTTAGGCTTTACATCATTCCTCCCTGAACAGAAAGTAAGCTGCATGCAGGAGAGATGGGGCCTGTGGGTGAGGGTGGAGTCTCAACTTCAGCTGATGAATCCTGAGGGAAAGTAGATTGGCGCGATGAATCAGTGAAGCTTATCAGAGTGAGGACACCTTTTGGATTCACACTGGGAAACATTTGGGCAAAATTTAGGAGGAGTGTCAGCTCAATCTACATCAGAATGATGACCTAATCACTACATTTTCTTCCTTTCTCCTTCTCTCCACTCATTTGGCACTATTTTATCTATCTCTCGCTCTCCACCCCCCCACCATTCTCATCCATCAATCCTCAACTATTGCTCAATGTGTTTGACTGTCTCGCTTTCTATTTGCAGAACTCCCCTCTTTTCCAGTACCTGCACGATCTAGGGCACACAGACTTTGAGGCATGTCCAACTGCATCACAGGAGGAGGAATATGGCGGTCAAGAGGGAGACCTCACCTCTCCTGACGAAGATACACAGAAAACAGTGAGTTTCTCCCATCCTTGACAGAAATATCACAGATGTCTGTCCCCTCATTTACAACTATCCTCTCCAAATTATTTCCTTTCTGCAACTAATCAACTAGTTGATTTGATTGAATCATCACTATTCTTGTCAATCTTACCCATTGTATCTCAACTTTAGTCCCCAGGGGGGAATTTGTCTTGCCGCCAGGTGAAACGCAGAACACACACAGACTTGAACATAATTAAAAAAAACATAATAAAATACATAACATAAAATAGTGTATTTCATTACTGGCATACATAAACATAAAACCTGGTCTATATCAAAGCATCGTCATCTGCCCATTCATGAAATGGTTAAAACAGCAATAAAACAATAACCAGTTGGATCTTATCTTAAAATCACATGCTTATAAAAGACTAACGTTTTTAGATCGACCAACTAGACATTTGTAAATTGGTTATGATTCTAGAGATGCACCTGTTATTTTCTGGAGCCATGGTTCTCATTTTGACCAATGACCAATAGCTGTTATTATTTATGTATTGGTTTTAATAGGGCCAGTGCACATGCATGAAGATGAGTGTAAATGTGCCAAAAGGTTACTTCTTACTTCTGTTGTCCCTGGACAGATGATACATACCGCAGTCACTATAAAAATAGATCTTAAAATGACTGTTTAAAAAAATGAAATAATAAGACTAATTGTTTGGCCAATAAAATGTCAGAAAATAGTGAAAAAGTTGGCCCATCACAATTTCCCAGAGCCTAATGGGACATTTTTAAATAGCTTCTTTTGTCCGACCAACATTCCAAAATCCCAAAAATTCAGTTTACTCTCGTGGAAGACTTGATGTACAGATGTACAGTTTTATGATGGTGGAACCTGTGAATAAGGGCATTTTTGCAGGTAGTCAAATTCTGAAAACATTTTCTGTGGATTGATTAATCTGGAACGGCAATGATTAGTTTATTAATACATTTCCTAAAAGAATCTGTTAATCATTTAAGCCATTTATTATAGCAACAATCCTCTGGTTACAGCTTCTGTAGTGGGAACATTTGCTGGTTTTCTCTGTTATACTATTGTAAATTGAATATCCTTTGCTTTTGAACAATTGGTCAGACAAAACAAGGCATTTGATGATGTCAACAGGGACTCTGGGAAATGTGATGCACATTTTCTTTACTATTCTCTGACTTTGTATTGACCAAACAATTTACAGAGAAAAGGGTCTGCAGATTAATTGATCATGGAAAATAAGTGTTAGTTGCAGCCCTAAATTAATCAAGACCCCATCAGGTCAAAGTAAGTCAACTAACTGACTAAGAGGAGCTTTAACTAACCCCCATCAACTCCCATCTCTATTCAAACCGCCTGTCTCCCTGCCTCCCCTTAGGCTGTGTGTGTGTGTGTGTGCGCGCACGTGTGTTTGTTAATGTTTGACTTGTGCACTCAGACAGAAAGTAATTAATTTGACTATTGACTCCAAACAGTGACACATATTGGCGCCCAATCACCCACAGAGCATTACGTGCGCTTGTTTATGTGCTTCACTTCAGTCAGGCAAGACATGGCAACAAGGGCTTCCTACACACAGATGCAGGTATTTTGCGTTGCATGTTCTTTACTCTGTAACCACACTCACCAGATTTGTTTTTCTGCATCTCTCTCCTGCTGCTGGTCTGATTTTTAGAAGAGATAGCCCAAATGCTATTACCTTGACCACACTCTGCTTTCCCTCTAACGTTATATTTGCCTCTGTGAGCATCCTCTTGCAAACTGTGTGTGTGTTTTTTATTTTTTTTACTAATATTCACGTCTGTATGCCTTTTTTTTAATGGACCTGCACGCTCTTTAATGCAAAAGCGATTCAAAATTCACAGGGTCCTTTAATTGCAGAATTAATGTGATCGTTGATGACTGTAGTTTGAGTCGACCTGTGATTCATACAGACGAGTATGTGTCCTGGGAAGCGCCGGATCACATGACATGGCTTCTCCACGTTCACCCCCCTCCTTTTGCGACGGGAAATGGTGTTGTGTTTGCTTAGTTCAGGAACTTTCCGTACGTGTCATGCTTCCTCTCTGGCACTCTGTTGTTCTAAGGAGTCAAGGAGGATAAGGGATTTGGATGAGACAGGAAAGCCCGATGTTGTCTCTCGTTGACCAGTTTCCTGGAGCTCAGATAAAGTCGGAGTCGAGGCAAAACACCTTGTTTACGTAGACGGACCAGTTTGTCTTGAGTTTGTCTTTCTTTACATTACCAGTAAAAAGCCAGACTAAAATAAAGAGGCAGGATTAGCCCAAAATGTATACAAGTGGGATGTTGATCGCAAAGGCTGCTGGTTCAAACCCTTTCCACAAATGTTATTGGGGACAGTGAAATAAGTTACACTGTTGCTCCTTCAACCATACTGTGTGAACATAAAATTTGTTTTAGGTTGATTTTGTAACCAGTATAGAGCAGCTACTAACAATAATTTTCATTGTCAGTTAATCTGCTCTAAACCAGCATGTAAACTGGTGCACAGTACCATTTCTCAACTGCTCCAATCCCCTCACTCCTAATCTCTGTGCACAGGATACTTGCTGTTAGGGCTGCAACTAATTATTATTTTCATTCTTGATTAATCGGTTACTTGGAGTCTATTAAAAGTGACAATTTTGCAAAGGGTTCCTATTGCTTGTTTTGTCTGACCAAAACCCAAAGATACTCAGTTCACAATTACATAAACCAGATAATATAAACAAATTCTCACATTTGAGAATCTGGAATCAAACCCTTTTTTGCTTAAAAAGAACAGTTAATCAATAATCAGACATTTAACTCTTATGTAAAACCCACATCTTTTTGTTTTTACACTTAGGTGTTTGTTTGGACATGTGAGCTTAGTGAGCTTTGTTACCAGGCTAGCTGTTTCCCTCTGTTCCCAGTCTTTGTGTTAAGCTAAACTATCTCCTGGCTTTAGTTTTATACTAGAGCTGAACGCTTTTGAAAAAATATCTTATTGCGATTATTTTGACAGATATTGCAATTGTGATATGATTTGCGTTTATTGGAGGGAATGATCATTATTGTATAATTATTCTCAGTTTCATTGAAAAACACATTTAAATGATATGGTATGGTTTTTGCGGAGATCTTTACCAGACAAAGATGTTTTCTTAAGTCTGTAGAACATGATATGTACGCCAGGACATCTCTGCAGTGCTGCAATAGTTAATTTAAAATGGTATTTTTACACACATTTTACCTTTAGCAAATATTGCACCGATTTTAAGTACTAGGCAATATTGCGATTTTGATAAATTCTTTATACTGAATGGACAGATATGAGGGTGGTATCAATCTTCTTGTCTAACTCTAAGCAAGAAAGCCAAAGCTTGTGTGTGTCCATTCTCTTGCATAGTATCAATCAGTCCAGCGTCTGGAAGCTGGAGCATTCCCTGTGTGACAGCAGGAGAATACTGATGAGCAGGGACTGACTGTGCCAGGATATTAGTAGTGAGTGTATGTGCATATGTGAGTTAATCTGTACATGGTTTACATGATCAGAGGAGACTTAACAGATTGTGGCCTACTTTTGAGGCTGATGAGCAGTGTTATTGGAATGTCCAGTCTCCAGTCAGTAATCAATACTACTGTGGCCTTTAGACTAAAGGCCCTTGTGCTTTGCCCCTCCAGAACAGGGTCAGTTTGCCGACTGCCCAGTCTGAATCAATAACCCCATGTATCTGCTGCGAACTGGAGCATAAACACACACTTCACAGGATGTTATGAAGCTGTTTTCTACAGGATTCTCAGTTGTTTTTTTACTTTAACAGAAAACGACTGGATGTGTGTGTCATCACTGAAGCCAAAATCCTCAATGTACAAACATCTATCAAAATGAGTCCCATTTTTAGGCAAAGCATTTCACTGACGCCACGAAACACTCTAAGCTGATTAGTAAATAGTAGATCCTATTCATGATTAGGCAGTACTCGGTTTTGGATTTTGTTTTCGGCTCTTAGCCTTTGTGAGAAAACTTGCAGCATCGCGAACAGCTCGAGGTTTGTTATGCATCGAAATGTCATCGCACTTTATAATGTGAGGCACCAAGTTACTCTGGTTGTGATTGGATGCCTCAGACTGTTTACAGAGGTGCTGGGAATGCAGATACTCATAGGAAGCCAGACATTAAACTGAAGTGTGTGTGTGTGTGTGTGTGTGTGTGTGTGTGTGTCTTTCTGTGTAGCATCTCCAATGACAGATGTACAAAATGCTTCTTTTTCTGGAACTAAAACAATCATTCCTTTCTGGCAACCATGTATTTTAAAAGGATGTAAGTTTGAGTTTCATCGATGCTGAATGCACTACTGAACGTGCTATAACATTTATGCAAAATGTTTGTTGAATTCAACAAATTAAAGCAGGTGTGTGTGTGTGTGTGTGTGTGTGTGTGTGTGTGTTTTTTGCCAAAGCAGAGCTGTGTATAAGACCTTGGAGAAGGCTATTACAAACACACATTGCACTTATTGTTGTTGCCTGAAAGAGTTTGTCTCCTGGGATACGCCTTTGGACTACTAGTGTGAATGTTCGTGGGTGCGCACACAGTTGTTATTTATTGGATGCGTGATCCCCAGGAAATAAACCCACCCACGCTTTGATGAGACACACCAAAGTGACAGAAAGACTTGCAGGTGTATCATTTAGTATTTTAATCTGGTATATATTTCACCTTTTACTGATCCACTGGGCCTGCATCAGGGCATAAAATAACGGTAAGACCTGCTGGAATGTAGCCGTTACTTAATTGACAGACTTTTTACCTTTTCCCTGTGTGTGATTTGCAGGGAGGACGCTTGTGGAGACTGGTGAAAGCCTTGTGGCGATGGAGTCCGATTCACCAGGCGGCTGCATCTCGTAAGCTGGGGCAGCAGCTGGTAGGTAGAATGGGGAAACAGAAAGGAATGCTGGCACTGAAACTAGCAACTTCACTCTGTTTTATTACAATACGGCTTCTCTTCTATTCTACTTTATTTCACGTTTCTCTTTTCTTGTAGGACTGTGTGTTCGGCCAATACTCGGTGAGGTGCATTCTGGACCAGGACGTGCTGCTGCAGGAGGATGTCGAGCTGATCGAGCTGTTAGACCCGAGTGTGCTCACCCTCGGTTCGTCGCCGTCTGGCTCATCCAGCCGAGCGAGCACCCTGCCCAGACCAAGCCTCATTGCCAGGCCGTCTATGTGGTACATCGATAGGAAAGAAATGCACAGGATGGGCAAAAAAAAATGCATTCCAGTACAACAGCAGCACAAACTGAAACTATGGCCTCAGATTTGACTCAATACTTTTTCTGGAAGGAAAAGTTTCTAAAAGAAAAAAAATATATATTGTAGAGAAAGTATTGCATTGTGTTATATTGTGAGGTCTAGTCCATCCCATTTATATAAAGATTTTTGACTTTATTTATTCATGTGAGCTCTGATTTAAAAAAAACTTCTGCTTAGATTCAAAGACCTGCAAAAAGAGACAAAGGGAAAACAAAAAATATCAGTGTTTGACAAAACAAAATGTGTGCACAGCTTTGTGGGTTGGAGATGTTTTGGAACGGATGTTACAACGAGGCCGTATGATCATACAATAGAAAAAACTTTATAAAATTTCAAATGAATACTCCAGCAAATTAGTATTGCACTATTGAACCTTTCGATAGACCTTTGAAAAGACAATGGTCAAATCAGCTGCAAAGCCACCATCACTGGTACTTGCGTCAAATTAAAATCCAATATTAAAACTATTAGAGTATTGGCTGTACATAATTATATCTGGTTTGATTTGTTAAAAAACTGCAATAAGGAGGTTAGCAGTTGGGGTAACCGGTTTTGGAATGTGAAAGCTCCCATGTTGGAACAACGCCAGGTTTTCCTGTTCTGTCAACATCGTGTAAAGACACTATTACTTTAGACCAACTCCCGTAAACGCCCACGTCTTAAAAACGTCTTAAACAATTTATAACCCACGCTTTCTATTACAATTTTGTAGTGCCCAACCCCAAACTGAAGTAACTTAATGCTTTACTTTCACACTAGTATATTTCTCGAACTGTAGAGCTCCTCTAGAGCCACAGAAGATTAGATATGCCTGTTTTCCCTGAACAGTACTTTAATTTTGACATGTAAAACTGATGGATTGTCCCTTTTATCCTGTCCGTACAGGAATCTAAACTGTCAAATGAAAATGTAAAGGTTGCACTAATCAAATCTTCCTCCTGTTCCCTTCACTCAGGGACATGGCGGGGCTGGTTGGCCTGGCTGCAGTGCTACTGAGTCTTTGCTCCGCATCGGAGGGCCTGTGGTCGCTGGCTGTAGCCCCGTGGGGCCTGGTGCTGCTGGGCTGGTTTGGGCTGAGGGGGGTCATGCTGTGGAGACAGGGTCGCATGCAGAGGGCCGTACACGCTCGGACCACGCAGCTCCAGACTCTGGTCCACAACAGCAAGACCCTGACCGGACTGTCTCGCAAAGCCCTGCGCCTGGTGCAGGAGACAGAGGTCATCTCCAGAGGGTTCACCCTGTAAGTGTGCTTGACTTATGTCTAACTACATAGTACATCTCACCCAATCACATAATCCTAATGTACATCTCCTGTCATGTCCCCAACTGTCACTGCTTAGTTCAAGCCTGCTCAGTTAATTCACTCAATGCTCAGCATGTTAGTTAACTGACCTTCTCGGGTAGTGTGTCTGTATATGTTTTATTATTTATGTTTTCTTTAGACCACTGTTTGTCTCTATCTTTAGCATTGTATATAGAAAAAGCACCATTATACATCAATCACCAAGTAAGTTAAAGGAATAGTTTAACATTTTGGGAAATACGCTGAGTTAGATGTAAGATTGATAAACACTCCAATCTCTGTATGGTAAATATGCAGCAGCTGGTCCGCATTGCTCAGCATAAAAGCTGGAAGCAGAGGGGAACAGTTAGCCTGGCTCTGTCCAACGGAAAAAATAATTCTCCTCCTTCCAGCACTTCCTTTTTGCACTTTGGTTCTTGTACACATTAAACAAATGAGAGGTGTTAATTATTGATCTGTAGATGTGCTGGTAGGTGGACTTTGTTACCTTTGGACAGAGATGGGCTACCTGTTTCCAGTCTTTGTGCTAAGCTAAGCAAACCTACAGTTTCATGATTACCACACAAATATGAGAGTGCTATCAATCTTGTCATGTAACTCTCAGTAAGGAATGAGCATATCCCCCAAAATGTCAAACTATTCCTTTTAATAGCATGCCACATTGTCTTGTTCGTCACAGCTGCCTTGTGTTTCTAACACTTCTGTGTAGTGTCCATGTCTGACTTGTCTCAGTTTGCTGGTGTGATCTTTAGTCATGTGATGTTCAGTGTTGTGTGTGCCCCCCTGCTTCTTTGGGACGTCTCCACAGTTGTATCACATTTCACTTGTCAAGTTTGCTCGACAGGGTGAGTGCGGCCGGCTCCTTTAGCAGGGCGGGGCCAGGGGCGATGCCACGAGGTCAGCAGCTGATCGGACTGAGGAAGGCCCTGTACCGGTCGCTCCGCACGGCTTTCAGAGCCTCACGCAGAGCCACCTGTCACATGCTCAAGGCATATCCTTTCCCTGGAGAGAAAGACTTAATAATTCAAATAAGTGTGTCTTCATGTTGGTTTCACCTCTTTTGTAGTGACACAGGTTGTAACTAGCCTGGATTTAGGGATATTAGTTTAAAGCAGAGTGCATAGATACCTTATTTCCCCAACTGATGTCATTCAGTTGTTGACGATAGGAATAAACGCTTTATTTATGGCCCTCCATAAACATAGATTTATGTGACGTAATCTTTTTATGAGACAAAAAAGGTGCACATTGCATTGTTGTTACAGAAGTGTGATGTGTCCTTAACCCCCTCCCCCTACGTTTCCTCTGAACTCTGAGATCGATAATGTGACCAACTATGTGTCTGCGGTGCCTCTGAAGGAGCTGGGGCTCGGCCTGGGCATTGAGCACCTGGGTGACGAGCAGGCTCAGGAGTTGACAGATGACTACAGCCTGCCTGCACTGAAGGTAAGGCCAGAAGGTAAACCAGGGGCTGCTGGTAATGGGTGGACACTACAACAGGAGTGGAAAGAGAAGAAAATATAAACACTACCAATATAGGACATGTACAATCCACAATATTATTAATGTTCAGTTAGTCTAAATTGTTTATTATTGCTTCATAGAAGATTGAAAAGTGATACTCCAAACATCTTATGAGCATCAAGCTCCTGAAAAGCGAAGCCAATGCTGATATGCCTTAAATCTGCGTTGCTTCTAATGGCCAGTAGGGGGTGACTCCACTGGTTGCAGAAAGAAGTCAGATTGTGTAGAAGTCAATGAGAAACCATGATGTTCATTTTGTAAATTACGGTCCTATTTTGAGCAAAACAAGTCCCTATCATGACGAACAGTCGTATTCCTGACCAGCTCTTTACCCAATATGGTCACTTCTGGTTCCAAAAAAAACAAGATGGCGGCTGCCAAAATGCCACACTCAAGACTTCAAACAGTAGTCCACAAACCAACGGGTGACGTCACAGTGCCTACATGCCCTTTTTTAACTCCGCCCATGAATGTTGCTGTAAAAAAGTGCATCGCTTTCTTCTTCATGAAGAACAGTATCATAAAGTAATAGTTTGACATTTTGGAAAATCTGCTAATTTGTTGTTTATTTGCTTAATTGGATGAGAAGATCCAACTCTAAAGCTCACTAATTAAGGTGTTCTATCTCGTTTATTTAATCCTTACAAAGTCTTGTCATCATGGTTAGGTTGCCAAGCTACTAGTTGAGACTTCGATAGAGAAATTATCCTGCAAATAACTCCTCATAAAACCACAATGCATCGTTTTTACTCTTCAGTTTTTGTACCAATTAAAAAAAACAAACAAAATATATATATATATATATATATATATATATATATATATATATATATATATATATATATATATATATATATATATATATATATATATATATATATATATATATATATATATATATATATATATATATATATATATATATATATATATATATAGTGAGCTACAAATGTTTTTCTTTACCTGTTTCCAGTCTTGAAGCAAAGCTAAACTAACTGCCTCCAGCTGCTGGCGGTAGCCTCATATTTACCATAAAGACATGAGAACGGTAATGATCTTTTCATCTAACACTTGACGAGAAAGTGAAGAAGCTTAAACTTAATCCTCTTCTCCTCTGTCCAACTGTAAGCTCAGTAACTTGTAGACACTTTTGTCATATAGCCTACTGTTTAGGAGCATCTGAACTTCGAGTTTATCAGGTACTGAAACAAGCAACAATTGACAGCTAAAAGGAATGGTACTGGTATTTTTTGCTCCTGTAGATGCTGTTCCAGCTGTGGGTGGGACAAAGCTCTGAATGTTTCCGTCGACTGGCTCTTCTCCTGTCACCCAGAAGAATAGAAGAGCCAGAAGAGGGCGGACCCAAAGGAGACACCTCCCCTCCCCCTCTGCACCGGTCCATCGCAGCAGTGACCGAGCCCCTCCACCACGCTCTGGGCAGCTGCCTTGGCGAAGTGCAGCGCAGCTATGACTTCCACCGGCACTTTGAGTCACAGCTGAGGACGACGGGCTCTGACAGGACAGTGAGAGCCAGGGAGAAGTGCCGAGACCTCAACACCTTGCACACCTCCATCCGAAGCCTGCAGCTGCACCTCAAAGCCCTGCTTAGCGAGTGAGACAAACGCACCCATACGATGAGTGTGGGGAAACCGGGTCATTCCACCAGTAGAGTAGTAATAGTACTGCGTTACACCCAAAACATGGAATTTATGCAATATTAAATACGGGAAATACGGACAAAGCTACCTAGTGGACCTTGTTGTGTTGAGATATTTGTTTGTCAATATGAAAATAAAGTAAAAGAATTACATGCATACAAACAGCATGAGTCACAAATAACACATAATATCATTGAAAGGGCAAATAGGAATTTTCAAACTATTCACTCGGAAATCAGGAAGATTTCTCCCATTTCAAATTTTCAAGTAACCTGAATATATACATGTCAACATTCCTCCTCTTCCTCCTGTTTCTGATTAGGATGATCATCCTAGAGGACGACTTGGAGAAACTGATGGTGTCCAAGGAACCGACAGAGTTGACGTTTGAAGGCTACCAGGACCTCAGTGACCGACTGCACCAGCTGCATCCTCACATGCAGGCCAGCACCGGCTGCTGGGAGGACACCATCACCCAGGTGGAGCGCATGCTGAGACGGGCCAACGCCTGCCCAGGTGAGCTAACACAAACACGCACACACACACAACCTACTGATATTATATACACTGAATAATAGAATTTAATACCCTGAGTGCTATTTTTGTTCTTCTCAGAGTAAAATCTTAACAAAACAGTAGTTTGGAAAGAACTTTTCTTAATGGTAATTTCAAGGTGGTTGTATTGTCACTGATTCGCTCATTGAGTAATGTACTTATAATAAGTACTGACTTAGAAGACCAACTTAAAAAAAAAAAAAAATCATTCAAATTCCTCTTCAACAAAGTTATGAAGATGACATTCACATGCTCACAATTAATCACGTGCTGGAGTGTGCACATCCCGGCGATTGGTCCACATTCAGCAACCTATGGACTTTTCATTTCCCCATCATTCCCAGGCAGAGGAAATTCATCCGCTTCTCATTCAGGGGAATCCATTTAACTACACATTTCCTGACGGCTATTTCAGAACCTTTGAAATAGCCGTCGGGAAATGTGTGATTGGATTCCCCTGAATAACAACTTGAGAATGATTAAAAAACACACAAAAGAAGAATTAAAAAAAAAAAAAAAACACTTCGCCGAGAGCGGGAGTCAAACCTGCAATCCTTGGGATGCAAGTCCTGCGCTCTACCAACTGAGCTAAATGCAGATTTAGTAAATTGACATGACAGAAACGCACCTGTCGATCCCCTGTATTCAGCTGGGTGGTTATCGAGATCACGAGAAAACAACAGTCGTGAGATAATTTACACCTACCAGCTCCTTTAGTGTATTATAGTACATATTGGTTTCCATATGCACACAGGCCCTACATTTAGCGCAGACTTACTCCTTTCTTCACCATGACTCAAGACAATTGCCTGTCATGGGGGAAGTCGCTTCTTCACAATGTAAACAGAAACAGCTGTCACACAGTGACAGAGCTTCAGTACAAAGTTGTTGAGGTAATCTGTTTTTTGTTGCAATAACGACAGTCCACATCATCTCTGCAGGAAATGCTGAGTGTCTAGAGCAGTGTGGCCCCCCTCTACCCGAGGTTCCTGCTCCTCCTCCATCCTACCCGTTGATCCTGGACAGAGACCCTGTGCCAGAAGAGCTGGTAAGTGTCCACCTTCCACCTGATAACTTGCATTGTGCCTATATTAACACCTACTGTATATTTATTTATATTTACACCAAAATTAGTATGGCCTCTAAAACTGAAACTAAACAACTTGTCTCAGTCATTCTCCACCCCGTGTGTCGTCCTGATCTGTTTCTCTGTTGTCAATCTCTTTCACTTGATCCAGGAGTGGGAGGCCTACGTGTCCGACTCAGACTCTGACGGTGAAGGCAGAGGGTCTTGGTCCGACATGTTGTCACTGGAGGAACGGGAGAGGCAGCGCCGGGAGAGGGAGGAGTCCCGCCGTGTCCTGTCAGAGCTCAAATCTGTGCTGGGTTTCCGTGCATCAGAGGGGGAGAGGATGAAGAGGAAGCAGCTGCTCTTCAACGACCAAGGTCTGCACTCTCTCCTGTGATAATTTAAACATGAGGACATTAGAGGTTGACTTTTTGGGATTGTGTTGCTATTGTTAATATATTTGAAATGAGGCAAACGTAACATCAAAGCAAACTCACCAAAACGAAGTATGAATTTAAAAAAATTCATCTCAACAACACTACTGGGTTTTTCCTTTCAATGATGCCAATTATTAAAATTTCCCAGAGCCCAAAAATGACATCTCCAAATGGCCTGTTTTGTCTGACCAACTGTCTAAAACCCAAAGATATTTAGATTTCAGTGATACAAAACAGAGAAGCAGCAGATCCTCTACAGAAATTACCTGATTAACAAAATGGTTGTCGATTCATTTTCTGTTTTTAGCTCTACTTTAGACCATGTCGTCATTTACCATTCATGAAGATTATGGTAATAATAAAGGGTAGTTACATGCATTTCCTTTTCTATATTTAGGCCAGGTGTAGGATGAAAAATTCAATGAAGGGAAGTAAGTATAGAGTTTCTCACTGGACCATGGCAAGCAGCAGCATTTCCTGCTTTAGGCCAATAAAGTTTTGAGCGCTGTAATCCAGTGTTTGGTTACTCTTGACTTTCCTCTAATTGTGGGTAGTAGGCTGCATCTAACGATTAATATGTCAACATATTTTTTTCATTAATGGAATTATCATTATCACGACTTGTTTTCGTCTGACAAACAGTCCCAAATGCAAAAATGTTCAATTTACCATAATAATAAGAAGAAAAGAGCAGTAAATCTTCACATTTGAGAAACTGGAACCAGAAAATATTTGTTTTTGTTTTTTCTTGATAAAGTACAAATTATCACTCAATAATAATTATTGACAATCAATTGATTACGTGTTTCAGCACCTACTGCTGAACGTCAGCAAAACTAAGCTGATCGTTGATTTCAGGAAAAAGGAGATAAAGGCTCACACTACATCAGTGGAGCAGGTGAACAGTTTCAGGTTCCTGGGAATCAGTATCACAGAGAACCTGACATGGTCCCATCTCCACGCTGGTGAAGAAAGACCAGAAACAGCTGCATTTCTTGAGGAAACTTAAAAAGGCCAAATTCCCACACCAAGTTCTTGTCAGCTTTTACAGAGGAGCAATAGAAAGCATCCTGACTGGAAACGTCACAACCTGGCATGGGATGTGCACGGCCCAGGACCGAAGGGCTCTGCAGCAAGTGATTAAAAATGCTCAGAAGATTATTGGTACCCATCTCCCGAGCATTAGTGATATTGGTGAGGTGTTCGCCCTGCTGCCTTCTGGGAAGAGAGATAGAGGTTTCTGCTGCTGCCACACCACCAGACTGCAGAGCAGCTTTTACCCCCAAGCCGTCAGACTCTTAAACTCAAATTCATCCTCAGCACTGCTCCACTGATCATTGAATACGGTTTATTTCTGTTTTCCATTTTTATAAATTGCTTCTGTATTAATGTACATTGTCTGCTATGTAGCAGAAGGGAGTTACAAAGCTCAATTTCATTATATAACCTGTTATACTGTGACAATAAATGTACCCACCTACTTCGCTACTAGTGAAGTCCAGTTGATGTCACTGTGGTTACTCATCACTATTTTCTGACATATTATAGAATTAACTCAAACTGAAAACAGCCTGTCGATGAATCTGTATACTATTAATCAAATAATATCAGATTTGTAATACAAGGTTGGAAATCAGTGGATCAGTTCAACCCTACATGAAACATTTCTTCTTCTTTCTTGCAGCTGCTGTGACGCCTTTAGCACACAGTGAGAGTTCAGATCCTGCCACAAAGCCGACTTCTCTGGGATCGGTAGAAGCTGGCAAAGAGGAAGGAAACCACCTTTCAGAGTGCCCTGCAGGAAATGAAGGGGAAGGAAGAGACGACAGGGTGAGGCCTGAACCCTCCACAGAACCGGTGATGGAGTTCAGCTGTGGCTTGGAGGCAAAGGAAGGAGAGTTGGGAGGAACTTCAGCGTGTACGAGAGGAGGAGGAGGAGCGTCGGAGCTGCACCAATACGACGGTGTCCTGGAGGAGGCAGAGAACCAGAACGGTCTGGACTGCTTCCTGGTGCCTAAAATCCCTGCTGTCTCCGTGATGGACAGACTGACGGAGATTCACGGCTCAGAGGCTCTGAGCTTCAGCTCCGCCCTCGCCGCTCAGGTGGCGGCGCGCTCGCAATCGCTCATCAACATGGAGGAGCAGACGTTCGGAGATGAGGAGGAGGAGGAGGAGGATGAAGAGGAAAGCGACAGACGAACCCCTAAGAAGGACTGATATTAAACCTCGCTGCTTTAACCAAGCATTGAGCAGAGACTGTATTTATGTCTGATTGTCTGGATGGCTTTTATTGCTGTGGTCTGTGTTACATCTTAACTGTTTCTGGTGTTGAGGTATTTCAAATTTACGCCACTCTTTATTACCCGTCCGTCCATGTTACATTACCCACAATTCTTACTGCTCTTTTGCTGTTAAAACTCAGGTACCAGAACCACTAAAACACAACATGACCTGACAGTGTTAAGGTCAGAAGGCCAGAATGTCTACACTTTACTTGGTTCATCCACATAGTGTATATTGCTCACAGTCATTAAAGAAACACGTGATTGGCTCCAATACATAAAAACCATGTACGTTTTCTCCTGAGACCCTGTAATCAAAGCACTCCAATCTGAGTTACTGTCAGGAACTGTTGGGCTGGAGGAGACGAACAGTTGAGAGCATTTTTCTGAGATACAGCGGTACTTCTTTGTGTTCAGACAGAAAGCAAAGATAGCCCTGCCGACAAATTCAAGTTTATCCCAGGACTTAATGAAACAGAGAGAGGCTGGAGGGAAACCGGAGTTGCACAAACAGCTCCCGATCCGATACTGAAATCTGATATCGGCCCGATACGGAGTCAAATATCTGGATCAGGTAACCGCGACAAGGGAGCCGATCTATTCGGTTCACTTACGTTGATGCACCACCAGTGTCGGTAAACCTGAGCTAACAGCATGGAGGGAGCTAAAAACAAGGGGTCAGCAGTTTGGAGGCATTTGACGCTTGTTCACGCTTGATGTTGCCTTACAAATAAAATGATTCCCAGTCTCTTTCTCACAGTGAGGAATACACCTTATTAATTTTACATTGATGTCGGATCAGTACTCGGTATTGACTGATACCCATGTTTGGAAGTGTTAGAGTGGTGGAAGAAGTATTCAGATCATTTACTTAAGTAAAGTAGTAGCTTTACTACATTATTTATATATATATATATATATATATATATATATATATATATATATATATATATATATATATATATATATATATATATATATATATATATATATATATATATATATATATACTGTGTTTCAATGAAAAGTTCTGCATCCAATATTCAACTGAGCCTCAATACTGCAAGCAAAATGTAGTAGAAGTTATGAATAAGGGCCCATTTCAGAGTGTTTATTTAACAAACAAACTTTTTTTTTCAGGACTTAAGGAGCTAAAAAAGTGTAATACAGTACAGTACTTGATGTACTTCTTACTTCCACAACTGTATCTGAACACCCCTGAAGCAAAAGGCTGAACCCAGCTGACATTCATTCTTATAAGCAGACAGATATAAAGAAACCCACACAGAGCGAGGGAGCTCTGCGAGAAGAGGAAGTGAAATGCTATTTTTACTATCAGTGCTTTATTTTTGTCTGATCCATCTCTGCTGTCTGACTGGACACAATGGAGGGCTAGCGGTAAAGCGAACACATAGCTGACCACACGTGCACAATCCTATTGGGAGTGACATATTTGTATCTAAGAACGACTCATGATGAAATAGTCCCATTTTTCTGTGTTTACAGGGGCACACTCAGTGGAACTTGTTAAAGACACTTTATGGATTCAAAGAACTGTGTTGCTGTGAGGTTTAAAATCTAATACCTGTACGGGTATAGTACTAAAAAAAGGTTGATTTTCTCTCATGTGAGGGCAATCTATAAATATGTTTCATATGACGTTGCTATATGAGTCTGACAGCCCTCATGTGTGTCCCCCCCACCACCCTTCCTCCATCTTCCCAGTCTTGTCACCATGTCGGCCTTGTCCTGACCCCTCCTGCGCCCTCTCTCTCTCTCTGGGGTGAGGTCTACCCCCCTCTTCCTGCATTTTCCAACGTGAAATAAAATACTATTCTGGAAGTGTTCGTTGTATCCTGAAGTTTTTTCTGAGGCTCAGTTTCAGAGGCTCTCACAGAGTTGCGGCGGGGGAGGGGGGGGTTGAACAGGTTTGGTGAGTTACTTGATATGTTTTGTGGGATTTTCCATTTGTCTCACCCACAACAGCTGGTGCTCCCCTTTAAAGCCACTCCTGCTTGTGGAGACTCACACAAAGACCTGATGAAGTGGACTGACGACTTGATATACAACTGCCCCTGTCGTGGGATTTTAATACATTAAAGAAGGGAAACGCCATATTTCAGTAACTTGAGCTCTGACATTTTAGTTTGGCATTAAACGCATCATAGGATTTGACTCTCACTAAAGCCACCCATACTGAAATTGTCTTTTCTGTGAAGACAATTAAATGTGCATCTAGTGGCATACATGCTTCTAAATATAAAGCAGCACACAACTGAATTAGTGACGTTTCTTTAGGCTGTTTACTGCTGTAGCTTTGCCATCTAGTGGTCAGATGTGTGACTGCCACAGGTGGTTGTGGCAATGTCATGGTGACATTTCTGTGTATAAATTGACTTTATGTAAATAACCATATATAATGTTATGGTCTATTTAGATATAAAAATTGTGTTTCTATTATTTATTTGCTTACAGATCACAGATTTAATCCAATCATTTTATTTTATTTAACCTAACTTCTGGTATTATTATTTACATCATCATATTGTTGCAGTCTATCAGTTTATTTCTACCTCTCCACAGGTTATTTCCTCACTAGGCTCACTGCTCAGTGCACAAGCTCCGCTTAAGCTGATTCCACATGTTTTACTTTGTGTTGCCTTCAGGTGCTCCCTTTAAGATCCGATTTCGGATGGACATGTTTAAAAGTCCAGTTATGAATGCTTTTGGTGGCATTTAAAACATATAATACACCTGTACTAAAAATAGACTCTCATAAGCTGTTGTTTTATTTTAAAATAAACAGTACTTTGTTCATGTGTAGCGCAGAATGAAGAAGAAAACACAAACTGTGGCACATACTCATACTGTATAATAAAGCATACATTTAATTAACACTATTTTAACAATACATTGTTAAACAAATAGTAAAATATAACCCGAGATGGGCAAAGATACAGTAAAATGTATCTATCAAATATATATATGTATATATATCAAATGTATGTATCAAAATAAAATACAAAATACTGTAAATACATAATGCAGGGAAGGCTCCACAATCACTGGGATGCAACTACTTTGTGGTAATTAATACAAGTACTAGTATCAAGGATGTCACTTTGTGTTGCAAAGTAGTGGGGTCATAAGGGCTCAGATTAGGGGTGTGATGAAACACTTAGCTCATGAGACGTGACGATGCACAATATTGGGTTCACGAGAACGAGGCAAAAAGATTTTGAGGATTAAACACTTAATTTCCTGCGTTCTGGAGACATTTTCTGCACTGATTTATGGTGGAAATGTTTATATAAAAGGACACTTTTCTCAAATAATCTTCATTTGCTATTTAACATTTCTTGATTCAATATTTCACAACATTTTTAACAAATGATTTCAAAAAGTGCTGGGGACAAAATCAGCCATTTCTGAAAGTGGTCCGCAGTGTAAATGACACCTTGAAACCAGAAACACGAATTGATAACATTTGTAAAAACACCGAGTGTCCGTGAACGCAGCATCACACACAGCACTCCCACAGTCCCTCGCGCTTCCTTTTCCAGCAGCGCCTGCGATCATGGCGGACGTCGTTGCGGAGCAGGTAGTGGACCAGAAACCAGTTCCCGACGGGGAGCTGAACGGGGAGGCAGACGACAGAGAAGACGCAGATCCTGTGGAGGAGACCGCGAAAAAGAAGAAGAAAAAGAAGAAGAAGAACAAGTCCGCAACGACAGGTGAGGCTGGACCGATCAGCTTGTTGCTAACAGGCTAGCAGAGCTAACGTTACTTATTAAAGCTGAAGCAAGTTAGCCAGTTAGCAACCGGAAGCCACGGGAAGGTGACTTCAAAATAAAAGTGTCCACTTTTATTAACGATACAATAATAAATTTACATCTTATTTAATTTGACAAATTCTAAAATACTCAAGTAGTTAAGTCGGGTACAAAATTTAAAATAAATTATTTTATTATTATTTATGAAAATTTTGAGTAATAGAAAGTACAACAAAGACCAGTAAGATTTAATTTTAGCACGAAAATATAAGTAAAGTTATTTATTGTTATATCATCCTTCTTGATGTTTGAGGAGGAAATTGTGAGAATGGAGTCTCTGATTTCAGTAACGAAACACACAAGGAGTTTTAATATATATATATATATATATATATATGAAATTGGAGCTTCATAGTATTAGTAAAGTAGTTAATTAAAGACATGCAAAAAATTGTGTTTCTCATGGCGTTTACAAAAACAGCAGCCTACATGTGTTATTGTCATTACAAAAGAATAAAATGGTTGGCAGGATTAAATCTGTTTATCATTTAGAAAGAAACGTATCACCTTTTGTTGATCAGAAATGTTTTATATGGCAAACTCATTTGGACATATTTTGTCTGGCATGACACTAGAGCACCACTTTAGAATAATGTAAATAATGCAGGTTAGATTGTCAGTGTCAAGGTAGCGCTTGGTCCTAAATGGAATGTTTATTTTGAAAGTTATGCCGGAAGGTGGGTGTTGAAACCCGTCCAACTTGACGCTGATCCTTATTAGCCATGCGGGTTGAGGGCAGCAGGGATGGTGTTGCTGGGGCGCCTGTCAGGCCTTATGAAACACGCCGGGCTTAAGTAACAGACACATGCAGGACCAGTGACAGTTAATACAGGTGAAAGAGAAGAATCACAATAATCTGCTCCTTTTGGTAACTGATTTCATTGCTGACTGCGCTGAGCCTCAGCCAAGTTTTCCTGTTTCGTAATTCCCGTTTGCGAGAGTTATTATGTAAGGAAAGATGACCCTGAGGGTGATTTCTTTAATAACTCAACAGAATATAAACATCATGAACATATGGTCGCTTATATCCCCATACACCACATCTTTTAAATTAACTGTGTCCTGTTCATCTAATGTGTTTGGATTACATTGAAAAGTTACTTGGCTACTTAGTTGTTCTTACATGTCCTTTAAGAAAAACCTGAGAGAGACGTAGTGTTTGGGCTGAATTATTTGCAGAATTGTGTGAACTGTCATTAAAACATTGCTGAAGTGAATACAGGCATGATTTGGGTTGTTTGTTTTTGGGACACAATAAAAAAAACAACCAACAAATCATATAAACCTATAATTTTCCTTAAGTTTTTTTCCTTATTAACTACAAATGATGTATAAATTATGTTACTGCTGAGAATTTTTGACACAGTTTCACATTTTTAAAAGCGATGTCCCGATCCAATCTTCTGGATCGATATCTGGACGGATCCAGTGAATTAATTAAGTGGATCTGGTGATCATGATGATGACGGAGCCACTGTAACAGATAATGTCTGTATTTTAAACCTGGAATACATATTTTGGTGCCGAAATGACACCAAAAGCCATCGACTGATCTGTGCAGTAGACTTATTCCTTTGGAGCAATGGTGTCTGTCAAAATTACGTCCACAAAAAGTGCTTCTTTTTTGCCACCGCCAGGCTCAGCATGTGTCAACATCATGGAAAGGATGCCTACGAGTGACACCCTTTGGTTTTAACAAGAAACAGAGGTCTCGTTCAAGGACAATTCTCCCTCTTAAATCCTGTGAGAGTTGCACAGTCTGAGCTGGTTAGTGTCACAAAGAAGCACTTTTTTATGGACGGTTTGTGGCTGCCGGCTGAAGCCATCTGCTGCACCGATTCCAAAACATTTTTTACCTACTAGTCAACACCAAAATATGTGAAAGCAGGGCCCAGGTTTTCAAATACCCAAATTATCCTTTCAATT